CACTGATAAATTTCGGTGAGTGAAAACGAGAACACCATACATGAACAAAGAATATCTGAATGGTAATTTAATGAACATTGATGGATATAGATGAATATGGATAATGGGTAATAGTTGACAAGAAACATTCTTGGCCATGGCCAGTCCTGCAGGCAGACAAAGAGCTGCGGGAGATGAATGAACAGATGATTGCTGAGAAGGAAATGAAACTCAGACATATGAAGGCTGGAGATAGAAAAACCACACTAGACCAGTTACAGTCGCAGTGGCAGATTTGCAGCCAGATTTGTAGACGCGTCTGAAATGAACTATGAGGTAGGGACTTTCATATAAACAACTTTCAAGGCAACGAATTTGGTTTAAGATGCAGGAACCCGCAAAATTTGGGGGGTAAAAACCATGGTTTCGTGTAGATTTTGCTTTAACCCATTGATATGAGGTACATCATGTACCCAGAAGTGCCTGGCCTAGTTGCAGTGCCAGCGTGGGAGGCGCGCTGCAAAGCGATGGTCATAGAGTCGGTCGAGAGAATGGCACGAGCCTAAAGGTGGTCACAGCATGTTGTCTCAGCTTTCAATCGATTCTGAAAACTGCACATACTCCCAGTTTCCTATTGTTTGAAGATGTTTGAAACACTTCCAAGTCCATCCAAGTCCTATTTAATCGGTAGATCCCAGACTTTGTGCAGCTTTGTTGGGGCATTTCGATGCACTGTGTGAACGCCAAGACACAGCATGATCGGCTGGTGATGCAGCAGCAGTGGCTCATGCAATGGAAGCGGGAGGCTGGCTGCTGGCTGAATGATTTGTGCTCACATGAACCAGGGAACATCTGTCATATCTGTTGGGAAAATCTTCGTATCTCCTTGGCTAACCTTTATTTTTTTTTAAGGGAATATGGATACAACCATAGCATACCATAGCTCCGCTCACCGCTCCCTCCATTCACTACCAGGTGGACTTCCTCAAAAAAGAGAAAAAGTCTCAGGATGGGACAGCAGACCAAGCGGTCGTTGATCAACCCTGGGGTGGTTGGTGGTGATGCCCTTCTCATGCGGGGTCAGTTGCAGAATGTTACAGGCCTCTGTGTACCGTCTTGAAACTTAGTGGAAGAGCTAGTTTTGCCCCAAAATCGAGATCCGCTGGTTATACTGGTTGATCATGACTTTTGCAATTTTTCAATAGCAATATATCGGGGCCTATTCCATGTTATGCCGAATTGTTGGACGCACATAATATCCGGTATGGCTTCCTGGGAATGGCTGGGAATGGTCTTGCAGAGTTGGCGACAGGAGCAACTAAATAAGGTCCTGAACAGGCAGGGGGGCAGCTTGAGCAAATTCAATTTGGGCAGTTTATTTAAGAGCAGCAATTCTGGAATAGGTTCCTCAAACAACTTGGGGTTTGGGGCAGGATCAACCTAGGGATTGAGGGCTCATTCGGGTTTGCCCTGCAGAAATGAACATAAACCATTGGACTTTGGGGCACTTTTCTTTTTCACAAACAGCCTGTAGAATTGCCGCGGCTTCATCGAAAATTGCGACGTTGCAGGGTCTACAGTGTTGCGAAGAAGCAGGCAGAGAAAGCAACCAATGTCACTGTCTCAGCTCAGAAATAGCAAACCTTCAAAAGAACTAACAACTACAGTGTTTGCGATTGATAAAATCGATAGTGCATGTCAGATGACTTCAGATGGATGCCATGATGAATGCATCCAGAAATGTATATATCCTGGTCGCTGGCGCGCTTAGGTGATGACCCGACGGGCCAAAGAACGGGAGACGGACCTCCTGAGCACCGAACTTGGATGGCTTTGATGGGACCCAGGAGCTTCAACTATTGGTGACATTGGTGAACAGATGCCAAGATAGCTTCAGAGGATACAAGATGCAGCACCTGAATGATCATCTTAAGGAGAGAAGGTAGACACAAATCTTGAGGTGGTCTTCTCTGCATGTGAGAACAATGTCTGCAGGATAGAGCTACCAGGGTAAGGATGGTTAACAGATGCAGCAGTTCGCCACACATTCTCAGAGATTGATCAGTTGATAGCAATTTCAGCGGCTTCGGTACGAGAAGAACAAAAGATCATCGAAAGATCATGGCAAGTCCGCAGCTGATTTTGGTGAGGTGATATCATTACCATCTGGCGGTACTTTCTACAAGAACTGCAGAAGGACAACCCGTGACAGAAGTTGTGTTTTGGCAAGAGCATGCTTTGATTATTGACCACCAGAAAGCCCAACATGTGCTCATTTCTCAGAAACTGCATCCAACCTTTGTACCTGCAATGTAGGCAAGTGATATCGCATGGCATGCCGTGAATATCAGACTGGTTGGACACATTCGACCTGGCCAAAGCTTTGCTCAAATCCAATGGAGCACGGGAGAAATCATCCACAGGTCGCCCCGGAGTTTCACCACTCAAGGCATTGGGAACCAGCCAAAGCTACGTGGTATGATATTTATCAGCATGCAGCAAACAATTACTACGAGAGTTGATCGCATTTGATGCAAAAGGGCCCAACCCGATGATTATTTCCTGGGCAGAGAATTGATGCAATGTATAAATTGGTTTGTTTCTAGCTGGTAAGTTTTCCTTTACCATTCAAACAATCAATGTCAAAAAATGCCCGAGTTCCACCTCGTCTACGAATTCAGGGAGCCCAACATTTATCCAAAGAATCAAAATTTTTCATCCGATGTGTGCACTGGCCTTTGGATGGCAAGCACCGCGGAAGCGGCTACGCACAGCGCCTGAGGTGCATAAGGTGTGGAAGCTTTCTCTGACGCTGAGATTTTGCCAATGAAATTGGGATTAAACTAAACCAACCATTCTATTGGGATATCATGGGGATTGATGGAATATAATTCATCAATATGATTGATATGGGTTTGTCTCAAAACTGAGGATACTTCCTCAAATCCCAGATGGTTATTGAGAAATGAGGAACATGATGATACCCAAATGCGGAACAAGATTTGAGCGCCAGGAACTGGGCACGGCATTTGCAGCATGCGAAGACGACATCGAAGATGATGAGCTTGAACTCTTGCCACTGGGTAAAAACAACATGGACAGCTTTGGAAGACTTCAAATCCATCTTGGCAGTGTCCAACATCTCTGTTGATTGATGATTCTATGGGATTTTATTATCCAATTGGGGATTATTGCAATCCTGCACATGCTGTGCATCACCAAGCAACTTCTTTTTGTTTCCGGAAACTTCCTACTTGGCCGACTTGGCCTTCTGCGATGCGTTTAAGGCCGTCGAAGGTCACTGGACAACTGGAAGATGCAGCGATGAAGCTTAAGAGGCCCTGCGAGCCTGTGGAGACGGTTTCTTTCAAGCAGAACTCGTGAATCGTGCATTGAAATCGTCTCACTCAACACCCTTGTAGCAGAGAGCATGGAAACCATTAGAAACCTTTCGCAGGCTAGTTCTACTAAGTCCAAACTTTAATGCCATCCAGAAGCACTAAAGGTTGCCTTCTTTGTTGATGTGTTTTTGTTCCCCTTGTCCCCTTGGCTGCTGGTTGCTGTTTCGAGGCTCAAATCCGAAGGCGCCCTGCTAGCTGAAGCTGAGCGCTTTGCAGAGGCGCTCTTGCCACGTGTAGGACATGGTCGAATATAAAGCACGTGAGGTGTAAGATGCGTTCATCCATTTTCACATGTGGGATCATGTAGGTATATTCATGATTATTCATGATTGTTTATGATGATTTGTGGTCATTCATGATAATCTACGATTATTAATGATGATAAATGATGATTTATGATGATTTTTGATGATTCATACCAACATGTATCCATGATTCTTCATGTACATTTGCCACTCTTTGAGTCGTTCGAACGGATACCTCGCAGGCCTTGCAGCACTGGGAGGAAGCCTTGCTTTTCACAGAAGATCCCTGTGACAAAGCTCCCATCTTGGAGCAACTGGGCACAACGGGTTGCGAATGTTGGACCAATGGATAGCAACTGAAATCCCAAAAAGGGATAGAAATGCAAAATCCTACTAGAATATATAGTGATAAATTACATTAAATTACAACATATACTTTTCTATTTTGTTTGGGGGGTTACACTATAGCAGAAACAAGAATAGCAGGATGATGCTGATAGCCATTTGGTAAAACCCATGGTTTCCTGCAACATATCATTTGAATCAATGTATTCATCCCAAGAACACACCCAGTTGTGGCCATGTGGAATGGTCCAGGCAGATGGCTCAAGTCCTACTCATCTTGGAGCGACCCTTTGATGCCATCAGGACGAGCGTTGGCTGAGACAGCCTGAGGATTTCTGTACGGACTCTATCGATCAAAGACTTGGGCTTGTTTATTTTACGTCTTACTGTACATACATACATACATACATACATACATACATACATACATACATACATACATACATACATACATACATACATACATACATACATCATACATACATACATACATACATACATACATACATACATACATACATACATACATACATACATACATACATACATACATACATACATACATACATACACGCATAAGTCGAGTAAGCGACCCTATTGTCTTTGTCACAGAGTTGAGATAAGGGTCGGATGTTCGACAATGTGCCATCCAGGACAGGAGAGCAAGCCATTCAGTCTCGGCCGTTGCCTGAGAGCGGATATCACAGCATTCTTTATCCCAAATTTTGCAGACAACGGACCCCCTTTGCTGGACAATTTCTGCCAGGGAAAGCCGGAAAGGGTACACTTGCAGCCGTTCACATTATCGAGCCTGCAATTAAATTGGAGGGTCAATGACCTTGAGCAATAAGATACATGATACAAAATGATCCAAAACTGAATTACCATGTACTATGTATACCTTGTCGTGCCTGCACATGGAAAGTTCCATCAAACCTACTTTGTAGACAGCTGCTTTCAACAACATCAAAAGTGTTGAACTTGTAGTCTCCAATGTCAGAGTTGAAGCTTTCAGAGATCTTACAGCGCCATGTCAGCCAAACTGCGCCATGGTGCTAACCCTCCCAGTGGGCTGCGTCGACATCGGCTGCTGGTGCTGCTGGCATTGGGTGCACAGCCAGAGCCCAAAGTCGAAGTCGTTAGATGCCAGTGAAAATTCAGGATATTTTCTCCTTGTGGCCTGATTTCACTTTGTGTCAAGCAACAATTCTTGCAGCTGGAGACGGAGGTTAACTGCCTTTTGTGGCGCACCCATGGTGGCCGCAGCCTGAAGTCATCTTATTGAGATGCAGAAATATGGCACGACTGTTTCAGATGTTTCAGGTTGGGCGGGATCAGATTTAATGTTTGCCAATTTTCGGAGGATTCGCGCAATCTCCATGCGTTTTGAGTTTGCTGAGGATCAAATTCTAAGAACATGTTTGGCTGCTGCTTCTGGTGGTGTAGAAGTGTCGGCTTGGATCTTAGTGTGCTGGTTTGATTCGCTCTAAGTTTGGGCGGACTGATGACGTTCTGTATTCCAATCAGTTGGAAGATCAAGGACTTCAAATACATGGCATCTATATATAGTCTTTCATAGATGTTTCATAGATATTTCCATCTCGGTTTCCACAAGTTTCAAGTGTCAATTTTCTCCACAAAACCTCAGTACGAACCGGGTTGGGATGTAACTCTTTCTCAGTCCCTCAGGGTGATGCGGAGATGCTGAAAAAGCTGAAAGAGTGGAAGAAGACGCGGGGGTCACTCGACCCGCAAGGAGTTGAAATGGAGCAGCGGAATAGCGACAAAAAAACATTGTGCTTAAACTTTCCAATGAGATGTGACGAGACTTCACCAGAGTTCCGAACGGTTCCGAACAGTTCCGAACAGTTCCTAAGCATAATTCCAAAGCCACCCAGCAAGGGGACTGCCATGCAGCAAGCGGATCCAAGCCAGGTCCAAAGGCTTTGCGGACAAGGCACCAGCCAAAGTTCCTTGGTACTTCGCAGTTTGAGCGGAAAATGCGAGTTTTGTTGCCTCATCAAAGAGATTGGGATATGGTCTTGACGTCTAGTATTTTGGGCATATTCATGTCTTCACTTAGTGACATAATGAATCATGTACTGTGTATAGCCACAGGCTATTTGGGGAAAAGGGTGGCCACAAGAATGGATGTCTTGGCATAGTTAGGCCCAAAATTTGGCCCGAATCAACCTGCGTTTTTCAAAACGGGGCAGCATGTTTTGTGGCTGGATGCATTTTGAATTTGCTGTCCGAAGTCTTTAAGCTCATCATATTCTTAGCGTTCTTGATAATCGTTCCCTGGTTTCTTGGAACTCTGAGATTCCATCTGTCTCCATGCCTTCCCCCCAGTCATTGAGGACCCTCTAGTAACTCTAGTAATCTAACCTGACGCTGTCAACTCCATCAACTCTCAATTTTTTCGTGCCAAGATAGAAATGATTTGGTCACAACCCTGGTACCCTTCTGCTCGGCAAAAAACATGGACACCACAGAGATGTTGTAGCTCTTGGCCCCTATCTATTGTCGGCTCCGCTGGGCCCAAGGAACCTGAAGTGCCACCAACACCTGCACCAGCCCCTGAGCCAGCTCCAGCAAGGTTGCCCCGAGCGCTTGAGGCGGCAAGCCACAGAAGTTGGGGATTTGAATGGCCATTTTCATCCATTTTCCCTTCTGAAATGGCCATGAATGAGGGGGGTATTTTAAGTAGTGCCATATTTTCAGACACTTCTTCTATAGAAATCCATTCTGCAACGTTTGACATGTCACCAAGTCCTGCATTGCATGAGGCAGTGTCAGAGCTATTGCAGAGGCTGGATAATGATCTACAGCGAGGAAGGCATTTTCCAAAGATGAGCAGTGTTGAACCCCCGGTTAGTCGATGATTATAAAATGGGCTAGCGCCCAGGTGCCGCCGACCCCCCTAATTGGAGGGAGGGTACTGGCAATCAACCTGGGGAGTATGATGTAGCACATGATCCCACATATATATATATACACATAATATGTACACCTAGCAAAGATGATGTCTTGTGATAACACTTGGGACCCATCTTGGCTTCGCAATTGGCAAGCACTTTAAAAATTCTGTCGTTTCTCGACCGTCCGTTTCAATCCCAGGAAGAATCTCATCCGGTCCGATTGAAAACAGCAACAGTTTCCATGGGGTGTCACATGTCCAAAAGCCAAACCACGACTGTGCAAAACACGTGGGTACCCTCCAGTCCTTTACCAGAGCCAGCAGGAATGGCCCACTTGTTATAGTTTGTTCAAACTTAAAAATCACTTCATCCTAACCCAACGGCGCCAACTTGGTCTCTGCGGGCCAACGAAGGCGGCAGAAGCCATGGCCAAGGGCAAGATTTTCCAATACGTGTGTCCGCATTGCCAGCAGCCTGTAAACAGTACTATACGAACAGGCCAAGTCAATCACCGCCGCACATGCGGTAACTATTTCCAAGTCCAGGAAGGACGCCCTTGTGCAAAACAGTATGACTACGTTTGTCCCGCTTGCAGTGGGCATGTAGCTAGTAACGTGGCGACAGGGCAAATAGACCATCGAGCAGTCTGTGGGAACAAATTTTCTGTGCAGGATGGTGTTGTTAAAGAGAAAGGCGTCGTTTACAGGTGTCCATTTTGCAAGGGAAATGTGAGAAGCGATGTCAGGACGGGGCAAATAAACCATCGAACAGTCTGTGGGAACAAATTTTCTGTGCAGGATGGTGTTGTTAAAGAGAAAGGCGTCGTTTACAGGTGTCCATTTTGCAAGGGAAATGTGAGAAGCGATGTCAGGACGGGGCAAATAGACCATCGAACAGTCTGTGGGAACAAATTTTCTGTTCAGGATGGTGTTGTTAAAGAGAAAGGCGTCGTTTACAGGTGTCCATTTTGCAAGGGAAATGTGAGAAGCGACGTCAGGACAGGGAGAATCGACCATCGAACAGTTTGTGGGAACCAATTTTATGTGAAGGACAGTGCGGTCAGCAAGAACACGCGGTGTCATGCGCACAGCTGCCCGGTGTGCTCAACTGTTGTGTGGTCCTCGCAGTCATGTGGGCGCATTGCGGTGACGCATGTCACGCCCTCGGGAAAACGATGCCAGATGAAACATTGGCACGTTCCCGACAAAAAGGCAAAGAAAAAAAGGCCATGAAATAGAAAGACTGCGCTTGCCGTAGGAACAGATGGCAATGGGGCAAGACCTCTGCAGCGAAGCATTGCCCTAACAAGAGAAGGCTATGTGCAGGCAAAGGGCAGGCTGCAATGCTGGAACGCTGACGGCCAGGAGCTTGGTGGAAGCTGCCGCGAGGGATGTGCAGCCAAAGGGCAGGCTGCAACCCTGGAGCAGCAAAGGCTGACGGCCAGGCTTGGTGGAAGCTGCCGCGAAGGAATTGGAGGGTTTTAGGGGTTTTAGGGGTTTGAAGCGAATGCCCTAACAAGAGAGGGCTATGTGCAGGCAAAGGAAGGTTTGAGGCGTTTTAGGGGTTTTAGGGGTTTGAAGCCTGGCAAACGGCAGGCTCGAAGGCCTTAACAAGACGGGGCTATGTGCAGGCAAGGGAGAGTTTTAGGGGTTTTAGGCGTTTTAGGGGTTTGAAGCCTGGCAAACGGCAGGCGCGAATGCCCTAACAAAAGAGGGCTATGTGCAGGCAAGGGAGGGTTTTAGGGGTTTTAGGCGTTTTAGGGGTTTGAAGCCTGGCAAACGGCAGGCTCGAAGGCCCTAACAAGAGAGGGCTATGTGCAGGCAACGGAGGGTTTTAGGGGTTTTAGGGGTTTAAAGCCTGGCAAACGGCAGGCTCGAAGGCCCTAAGAAGAGAGGGCTATGTGCAGGCAAGGGAACGTTTTAGGGGTTTTAGGCGTTTTAGGGGTTTGAAGCCTGGCAAAGGGCAGGCTCGAGGCTCGAAGGCCCTAACAAGAGAGGGCTATGTGCAGGCAAGGGAGGGTTTTAGGGGTTTTAGGCGTTTTAGGGGTTTGAAGCCTGGCAAACGGCAGGCTCGAAGGCCCTAACAAGAGAGGGCTATGTGCAGGCAAGGGAGGGTTTTAGGGGTTTTAGGCGTTTTAGGGGTTTGAAGCCGGGCAAACGGCAGGCTCGAAGGCCCTAACAAGAGAGGGCTATGTGCAGGCAAGGGAGCGTTTTAGGGGTTTTAGGCGTTTTAGGGGTTTGAAGCCTGGCAAACGGCAGGCTCGAAGGCCCTAACAAGAGAGGGCTATGTGCAGGAAGGAACGTTGGAGGGGTTTAGTTAGGAGGTTTAGCGGTTGAAGCCTGGCCCAAAACGGCAGGCTCGAAGGGGCCCTAAGAAGAGAGGGCATGTGCATGAAAGGAGGGGGGTTGTTGGAGGGGTTTAGGCGTTTTAGGGGTTTGAAGCCTGGCAAACGGCACGCTCAAAGGCCCTAACAAGAGAGGGCTATGTGCAGGCAAGGGAGCGTTTTAGGGGTTTTAGGGGTTTTAGGGGTTTGAAGCCTGGCAAACGGCAGGCTGGAAGGCCCTAACAAGAGAGGGTATTGTGCAGGCAAGGGAGCGTTTAGGGGTTTAGGCGTTTTTTAGGGGTTGTTGAGACTGGCAAACGGCAGGCCGCGAATTTTTGGGGGGGGCCCCTAACAAGAGAGGGCTATGTGCAGGCAAGGGAGGGTTTTAGGGGTTTTAGGCGTTTTAGGGGTTTGAAGCCTGGCAAACGGCAGGCTCGAAGGCCCTAACAAGAGAGGGCTATGTGCAGGCAAGGGAGCGTTTTAGGGGTTTTAGGCGTTTTAGGGGTTTGAAGCCTGGCAAACGGCAGGCTCGAAGGCCCTAAGAAGAGAGGGCTATGTGCAGGCAAGGGAGAGTTTTAGGCGTTGTAGGGGTTTTACGGGTTAGAAGCCTGGCAAACGGCAGGCTCGAAGGCCCTAACAAGAGAGGGCTATGTGCAGGCAAGGAGGGGTTTTAGGGGTTTTTTAGGCGTTTTAGGGGTTTGAAGACTGGCAAACGGCAGGCTCGAAGGCCCCTAACAAGAGAGGGCTATGTGCAGGCAAGGGAGGGAGGGTTTTAGGGGTTTTAGGGGTTTTGAAGCCTGGCAAAACGGAAGGCGCGAAATGCCCAACAAGAGAGGGCTATGTGCAGGCAAGGGAGCGTTTTAGGGGTTTTAGGCGTTTTAGGGGTTTGAAGCCTGGCAAACGGCAGGCTCGAAGGCCCTAACAAGAGAGGGCTATGTGCAGGCAAAGGGCAGGCTGCAATGCTGGAACGCTGACGGCCAGGAGCTTGGTGGAAGCTGCCGCGAGGGATGTGCAGGCAAAGGGCAGGCTGCAACCCTGGAGCAGCAAAGGCTGACGGCCAGGCTTGGTGGAAGCTGCCGCGCACATTTAAAGCCCGCGCGGAAAAGTTCCACACCTGCGGTGTGCAGGCAAGGGAGCGTTTTAGGGGTTTTAGGCGTTTTAGGGGTTTGAAGCCTGGCAAACGGCAGGCTCGAAGGCCCTAACAAGAGACGGCTATGTGCAGGCAAAGGGCAGGCTGCAATGCTGGAACGCTGACGGCCAGGAGCTTGGTGGAAGCTGCCGCGAGGGATGTGCAGGCAAAGGGCAGGCTGCAACCCTGGAGCAGCAAAGGCTGACGGCCAGGCACAGGGAGAATCGACCATCGAACAGTTTGTGGGAACCAATTTTATGTGAAGGACAGTGCGGTCAGCAAGAACACGCGGTGTCATGCGCACAGCTGCCCGGTGTGCTCAACTGTTGTGTGGTCCTCGCAGTCATGTGGGCGCATTGCGGTGACGCATGTCACGCCCTCGGGAAAACGATGCCAGATGAAACATTGGCACGTTCCCGACAAAAAGGCAAAGAAAAAAAGGCCATGAAATAGAAAGACTGCGCTTGCCGTAGGAACAGATGGCAATGGGGCAAGACCTCTGCAGCGAAGCATTGCCCTAACAAGAGAAGGCTATGTGCAGGCAAAGGGCAGGCTGCAATGCTGGAACGCTGACGGCCAGGAGCTTGGTGGAAGCTGCCGCGAGGGATGTGCAGCCAAAGGGCAGGCTGCAACCCTGGAGCAGCAAGGGCTGACGGCCAGGCTTGGTGGAAGCTGCCGCGAAGGAATTGGAGGGTTTTAGGGGTTTTAGGGCTTTGAAGCCTGGCAAACGGCAGGCTCGAATGCCCTAACAAGAGAGGGCTATGTGCAGGCAAAGGAAGGTTTGAGGCGGTTTAGGGGTTTTAGGGGTTTGAAGCCTGGCAAACGGCAGGCTCGAAGGCCTTAACAAGACGGGGCTATGTGCAGGCAAGGGAGAGTTTTAGGGGTTTTAAGCGTTTTAGGGGTTTGAAGCCTGGCAAACGGCAGGCGCGAATGCCCTAACAAAAGAGGGCTATGTGCAGGCAAGGGAGGGTTTTAGGGGTTTTAGGCGTTTTAGGGGTTTGAAGCCTGGCAAATGGCAGGCTCGAAGGCCCTAACAAGAGAGGGCTATGTGCAGGCAACGGAGGGTTTTAGGGGTTTTAGGCGTTTTAGGGGTTTAAAGCCTGGCAAACGGCAGGCTCGAAGGCCCTAAGAAGAGAGGGCTATGTGCAGGCAAGGGAACGTTTTAGGGGTTTTAGGCGTTTTAGGGGTTTGAAGCCTGGCAAACGGCAGGCTCGAAGGCCTTAACAAGAGAGGGCTATGTGCAGGCAAGGGAGGGTTTTAGGGGTTTTAGGCGTTTTACGGGTTTGAAGCCTGGCAAACGGCAGGCTCGAAGGCCCTAACAAGAGAGGGCTATGTGCAGGCAAGGGAGGGTTTTAGGGGTTTTAGGCGTTTTAGGGGTTTAAAGCCTGGCAAACGGCAGGCTCGAAGGCCTTAACAAGAGAGGGCTATGTGCAGGCAACGGAGGGTTTTAGGGGTTTTAGGCGTTTTAGGGGTTTGAAGCCTGGCAAACGGCAGGCTCGAAGGCCCTAACAAGAGAGGGCTATGCAGGCAAGGGAACGTTGGAGGGGTTTTAGGCGTTTTAGCGGTTTGAAGCCTGGCAAACGGCAGGCTCGAAGGCCCTAACAAGAGAGGGCTATGTGCAGGCAAGGGAGGGTTTTAGGGGTTTTAGGCGTTTTAGGGGTTTGAAGCCTGGCAAACGGCAGGCTCGAAGGCCTTAACAAGAGAGGGCTATGTGCAGGCAACGGAGGGTTTTAGGGGTTTTAGGCGTTTTAGGGGTTTGAAGCCTGGCAAACGGCAGGCTCGAAGGCCCTAACAAGAGAAGGCTATGTGCAGGCAAGGGAGGGTTTTAGGGGTTTTAGGCGTTTTAGGGGTTTGAAGCCTGGCAAACGCCCAGGGCGCGAGGCCCTAACAAGAGAGGGGCTATGTGCAGGCAAGAGCGTTTTAGGGGTTTTTAGGCGTTTTAGGGGTTTGAAGCCTGGCACACGGAGGCGCGAATGCCATAAGAAGAGAGGGCTGTGCAGGCAAGGGAGCTTTAGGGGTGTGTTAGGCGTTTTAGGGGTTTGAAGCCTGGCAACGGCAGGATCGAAGAGGCCCTAACAAGAGAGGGCTATGTGCAGGCAAGGGAGGGTTTTAGGGGTTTTAGGCGTTTTAGGGGTTTGAAGCCTGGCAAACGGCAGGCTCGAAGGCCCTAACAAGAGAGGGCTATGTGCAGGCAAGGGAGGGTTTTAGGGGTTTTAGGCGTTTTAGGGGTTTGAAGCCTGGCAAACGGCAGGCTCGAAGGCCTTAACAAGAGAGGGCTATGTGCAGGCAACGGCCTGGCAAACGGCAGGCTCGAAGGCCTTAACAAGAGAGGGCTATGTGCAGGCAACGGAGGGTTTTAGGGGTTTTAGGCGTTTTAGGGGTTTGAAGCCTGGCAAACGGCAGGCTCGAAGGCCCTAACAAGAGAGGGCTATGTGCAGGCAAGGGAGCATTTTAGGGGTTTTAGGCGTTTTAGGGGTTTGAAGCCTGGCAAACGGCAGGCGCGAATGCCCTAACAAGAGAGGGCTATGTGCAGGCAAGGGAGCGTTTTAGGGGTTTTAGGCGTTTTAGGGGTTTGAAGCCTGGCAAACGGCAGGCTTGAAGGCCCTAACAAGAGACGGCTATGTGCAGGCAAAGGGCAGGCTGCAATGCTGGAACGCTGACGGCCAGGAGCTTGGTGGAAGCTGCCGCGAGGGATGTGCAGGCAAAGGGCAGGCTGCAACCCTGGAGCAGCAAAGGCTGACGGCCAGGCTTGGTGGAAGCTGCCGCGAAGGAATTGGAAGGTTTTAGGGGTTGTAGGGCTTTTAGGGGTTTGAAGCCTGGCAAACGGCAGGCTCGAATGCCTTAACAAGAGAGGGCTATGTGGAGGCAAAGGAGGGTTTAGGGGTTTGAAGCCTGGCAAACGGCAGGCTCGAATGCCCTAACAAGAGAGAGCTATGTGCAGGCAAAGGGCAATGCTGGAACGCTGACGGCCAAGAGCTTGGTGGAAGCTGCCGCGAGGGATGTGCAGGCAAAGGGCAGGCTGCAACCCTGGAGCAGCAAAGGCTGACGGCCAGGCTTGGTGGAAGCTGCCGCGCACATTTAAAGCCCGCGCGGAAAAGTTCCACACCTGCGGTGGTCCCAGGCGCCGCCCCGGCCTTGGCGAAGGCCGGGGTCGGCGGATATATTGTATAGGGATGTATAGGGGATCGGACTCCAGTTTTTGGGGATATAGATATATTCTGCTAAGAAAAACATCTATTAGGGATTATATGAATAATATATGATAAATTATGGAGGATTAAGCCACTCTATTAACATCTGTTAACTACAGATCATCCATCAGATGTTTTCTTCACGCGGCAGGGGTCAGGAAGAGGTGAGCCCCAATGACTTCACGCCGCAGCAGCTCATCAGAGTAGCTGGGCTCAAGGACAAGAGCAGTTTCAGGTCCAGGTTTTTTCATGGGGATGTAATAGGGATGTAATGGGATATGATATTGTATAAGAGGGATAGAATAGGATATGATGGGATATAATAGGATTTACCCTCTTGTAATTTAACTGTTTGCTATGGAAAATGGCGAATTTATAGCTGATTTTACCATATTTTACCTATGCACAATGGTGCTGTTCCATTTCCAGTTTAATTAGGAGAGGGAGGTTTTGTGTCCATCAGGAATGTATGAAGATAAAGAGGAGACATTTCTGAAGCTATCAGATATTCGACCGCCAAAAGGAGCAATTGGGGGAAAAAGGGACAACACTGATTTTTTGCCGAGAAACAGAATGCCTGAATACCGATGGAAAGGAGTGGCTTCCTTGAAAGCATACTATGGCATGAAATAGGACAGAAAGCAGATCCTGTAACAGTAAAGATACCTCTCCATTCTGGAATGGATATCACATCGTGACTTGATGCTGCAGGTCTTCTATGCCTTCTTTCAAGGCTGGCGTCAACGGCACGGTCTGCCTGAGTTGGAGTTGAACACCAAGCAGCAGCAGCTGGTTGTGCTGATGATCCAGAGCAATCTTGTACTGGTCAACTCAGCCAAGGACGTTGGGGCCGGTGGGGTGTTGAAACATGTTGACGTTGTGACAACATGTTACAACTGTTATTGACTCACTGGTCCCAAGAGTATGTGCAATGTAGCATTCGTGCAGCTGCTAAGGCTGTCAGACTTTGAGTGGTAGTTTAAGGCAAACCTGCAACCATACCTGGGCCATATCGAAGCACTTACACATGTACTTACCGTCTTTTAGGTGAAGATCAACTCCCGAAGAAAACGAGTTTGATTAGATTATATATTACATTCCCATTCTATAGCCATTATATATATATATATATATATATCCTATTTTTCTTGGTTAAATCCTCCATAACCCACATAGCACATATGGGGCTTGGCACACATGGTGACCAAAGCCTGAGGACTTCTGGCCGAGGCTTTGTGCTGAGCTTGGAAGCCGCGCACCGAGTCACCGAGTTGGGGGTTGTGGCTGTTGGAATGGCTTCATGGTGGGATCAACCAATGTCAATGGCTGTAGTACGTTAACTGATGGGATTAACCAATGGATAGCCTATATAATTATACAGACAGACAGACACACACACACACGTCTATGCATGTTATATAATGTTATATATGTATAATAGCTTCCATTGCTGTAGCTTTGATATATCCTACAGTAATCAATGAATTTTAATGTTAATCAATCGTTGTTGGAATTTCCCAAAGAAAGCCGGGCGTGTTTTCCCCAGTGCCCATGACTCTGGATTGCCACTGAGGTCCAAGGGATCCAGAAGCGAAAGAGCTCCTGCTGGCATTGACGGGAGTTTTTGAGTTGTAGAAGGAGGAAAAACTTCCGCTTCGAAGAATCTGGAAGACGATTCCTGAACCGAATAGGTATCAAATCAAATTGTACCCTTTGGAGAGGAACTGTCTTCTATTCTTCTCAAAAATGCAGAGGCGAGGGGACATGGCAAAAGTACACTCATTTGACCTTTTTCTTGCAGCAGGAATCGTTCATTAGATTGTATCTGTGCCAAATTGGCTGCTGACCCACTGTGAAATGATAGATTTTGCTGTCTCTTCATGATGGCGCAGCAGCTGGAAAAGTGGTCCTGACCCAAACTGGGCAGCAGTCGAGATGGAAATGTGTCCCTCTGAGGCCGCTTTGGTATGCTGGCCACCTCACCCTTGGACGCGTGAGAGCTCTCAGCGTTTTGAGGTTCTCACTATGACTTGTCAATCAACCAGAAATATGAAACAGGTGACCAAAACACCTGTTGGTTGATGATTTTAGGAGCTAATACTACCCAATCTACTGAGGATTATCATGATGCATGGGAATCCCGTTCTTGACCATCCAGGATTGAACGGAATGATTCAACTGGAGGCCTTGATCAATTTCGGAGAGCTGGAGCGTGCAGTTGAATCCTTCCGTCCGAGGGCCAAGTGGGGCAAGTGGGCCAAGTGCCTCAGCTCAAATTGATCACAGCACAGGGATCACAGGGATAGACGGCCAACTGATCTGCTGAAGCAGAGTCTTCCATAGCCATAGATCTGCCTTTCCAGGTCGAGCAAAGACTTTGCTGTCGCAGGACTGGGCATCGTGCAGGTGCGTAGCTGATTCAAAGGCTGGGTATGGCTGTGTTTTGTTTTCCCTTCTGCAACCAATGTCAATATATCAAAATATGATTTATGCTTGCTTGCCTTTTCTGTTTGCTGAATGCGCTGGCATTGCCACCATTTTGGATTTGGGAAGGGACCGGCCATAGACAGCCCCCTGTCTTCATATCATTGGAATGCAAATTTTCAAGTGAATTCAAAACTCAATTGGGTGTTATTGATGGCCATTATACTTGGACATGTTTGGCAAGATAACAAATCAAAGTACAGAATACTGTATGTGAACGATGTGTTCGCATTTGCAAAGGTAGGGTTCACATCGGTTCACATCGGTTCACCATGTTCACCTTTTCAACATGACCTTTTGTTTACATTGGCGACTGGCGCTCGGACAAAGCGCGACTGAGCATTTCAGGACATGGCCGGTGCCAACCACAAAACTGCAGACGCAGAAGATGTAGAATTCTCAGTTGGCCATGCCATGGCATATTCCTTTGCTTAAACGGTCCACAGTACTTTTCCCCTACCTGTTGTATGGCTGAATGACTTCCAGATGACTTGTAGCCAGAAATGCCAAGAAGTGTGGCAGATGGCAAAATAAGGAGTTCCAAGAGTTGTGTTTAGAGCTCCGAGAAGCAGAGAAGCTTTGGGCCGAGGCGCCTGATGTTGCACGACTCGCAAGAAATAACTTGCACCGGATTTTAAGTCAAGATTCGGGGATGGAGCTGGATATGAAAGGCATCCCCATGTTGTAAGACCAAACAATCATAGAGCGACAGAGGAAGCAAATGCCCAGCCCTTCCTCTTTTTTCGTTCGCAGGTGAAAGATCGAGCCAAGCAGAACACCTCCAACGAGGCGGGGCTTTACGGCCGATCAGCATGCCTGGAATCATCAGCAAATAACGAGCATTGCCGCCATTTTGAAGCAAGACTGAGGGTACTTTTGATTTTTGACCATGATTGGCCAAATAAGCAAGGTGGATCTTGGTGTCAGAAGAAGCTTTCCATAATCGCTAGCCTGACCTGTCGATCGATGACATTGACATCGCTGTTGCGTAGGTGATCGTGAACGGCCGCGTTGTCGAGTCCCACTTTTGGCAGACTGCGCTGAAAGTGACTTATGATTCGGATGGACGGCCCACCACACATTTCCCGCTGGGGGGCCTGGAAATCCGATGTGATGACTTTGGATCCTTTTGGGAGTACAACTTACAAAAGAATCTTGTCTTGATGGTATGAAAATATGTGTGGCTCACAAAAAGGACATCAATGAACTTGTCATAGGTAGGACTTTTCTGAAGTTCCTCATGTTGCTACGTTGCTTGAGTGCCGGGAAAACCTCGTGTGAAATGGTCCCCCAATGGTTATTTCAATGGATAAAACCATGATGAACCATTGGATTATGGGGTTTTCCCATCGAGGAAAGCGCAGATTCCATTGGTTTGATCTCCCTGGTCCAGGTCAGATACAATGGGCACTCCAAACGCGGCCTAGCGCAAAAATGACCTCGTGACTGCTGACGGGCTGACGGGCCTGTGGCATTGTAGTTGTAACATCCATGGTACATGATGAGATTATGTGATCACAAGCAAGTCATGAGAACAGAATCTCACATACTATGATAAGCATGGCGAAGACCAGGATGCTGCTGCATGACCACTATGACAGCATGATGCTGCCAGGAACGAGAATTTGAGGAAGCTGTGAAGCAAACTGAGATGAAGATCCAGGTTGCGCTTGGGATGTGTTCATCTTAGGAGTAGTTTGGGCCACAGGGTGATCTTCCTCCTGAAATGCAAAGATTGGGAACCACAAAGCCGACTGCGAGACCACCATGTTGCCTTGCAACTGGAACTCCATTCTGGCAGAATCAGGTAAATTACACTGCAAAGATCATTTGCGCTTGTTTGGCAAGTGCTTGCGACAGGATCATTTGCAGAGGAGGAAGGAGGAAACAGCAGCAGTCTTCGCAGGGGTCTCAACATCTTTTCTCAGCTTGATGGATGGAAATGGACAATCAAAATCAACCTGTTGCAGTGCACTTCTATTGCATTTGTGTGCCGTCATGTCCGTTATGAACCGGACGGAGTATACTAAGAGTATACCAATGGATTTTCTCTGGATCCAGCCCAATATCACCATCAGTGGGGTGAAGCGATGTCCAACCGAGGATCGCATGACCGTAGCCACCCAAACGGGACTACTGACCTCAGTGCTCGTTGCGTGGCAGGGTGTCATCACTGAGGAGCGGTTTGATGTGTTCGGAGGGGTTGAAACCACCAGGATAAGGGGAAGTTGGATGCAGTTGCTCGCTTTGTTTCTGTTTTTCAGAAGATAAAGCAACTAATGTTTTGAGTTTCAATTTTGACCCTGTACTTGTGTGCAGCTGGACAAAAAGACTTGACAGATTTGACAGACTGCAGGAGCGAAAATTTCATGCGATGGAGAAAGAAGTGTTACAAGCAGATGAGGAGTGCTGACCTGAGCCAGTCACACAAAAACCATCCAATCAAGTCATGTTGATCCTCTCTTACCGGTGCATATTGAACCAAGAAATAACGAAGAAACATATTACACATGGTCTGTTGATGTGTGTTGTGTGGGTCTGAAAAATGGGTACCACCAAATTTCCAAGGGTTTATCATGGTAAATCCACCAATTTATCATGGTAAATCCATGGGTTTATCATCACTTTTCCCATCATTTCATGGCCATTGCCAAGGTTCCAGTGCCTGAGACATTGGAGAAGCCAAGCCGTAGAAAATGTCGGGACCCAGAGAAGGGATCCCTAGAGAAGATATATTGAAGACCCCTAGAGTGGACATCAAACCAATGATGCACAATGATTTCGATATGTATTCATGTATTAAATATATATATATATATATATTATATATATATTTGTAAGTCATGTACCAACCACTTGATCACTTGTATTTTGATATATATATATATATATATTGGGTCAGTACCTCGCTTAAGCCTACGTTTTTACTCGCTTACGCCTACGTTTGTGAAATATGATGGCAGCACCAATAGAAAGTGACATAGAAGTCTTTGAATATGACTGCAACAGGTGTGAGATGATGAGCAGGACATTTTGATTCGATCATATGAATTGCATGTCACTTTTCAGAAGATGTTTCAACGTATCAGGAATATGTCGCAATGTATCAGGAACATGTTTGAACTCACTTGAAGAAGTTGCTTCAACGTATCAGTACCGTCTGGCAAGTTACTGTAAGACGAGGTGACACATGTATCAGGAAGGTCGTGCAATTTACTTACAAGTAGGAAGATAGATGTTGCAACGTATCAGGAATGTATTGCAAGCTACTTGACGAAGATGTTGCAAAATAGCAAGAACATCATTCAAGGGACTTGAAGAAGATGTGACAACGTCATGCGTGGAACATGTCGGAAGTGTCGCGCAGAAGATGTCACAATGCATCAGGAACGTGTTGCAAGTCACTCGAAGAGGATGCTACAACGTATCAGGAACATCTGGCAAGTTACTGTAAGACGAGGCAGCAGGAGTATCAGGAAGGTCGTGCAATTTACTTACAAGTAGGAAGATGTTGCAACGTATCAGGAATGTATTGCAAGCTACTTGACGAAGATCTTGCAACATAGCAAGAACATCATTCAAGGGACTTGAAGAAGATGTGACAACGTCATGCATGGAACATGTCGGAAGGGCCGCGCAGAAGATGTCACAATGTAGCAGGAACGTGCTGCAAGTCACTCGAAGAAGATGCTACAACGTATCAGGAACATCTGGCAAGTTACTGTAAGACGAGGCAGCAGGAGTATCAGGAAGGTCGTGCAATTTACTTACAAGTAGGAAGATGTTGCACCGTATCAGGAATGTATTGCAAGCTACTTGACGAAGATGTTGCAAATACCATGAACATCATTCAAGGGACTTGAAGAAGATGTGACAACGTCATGCATGGAACATGGCGGAAGGGCCGCGCAGAAGATGTGACAATGTATCAGGAACGTGTTGCAAGTCACTCGAAGAGGATGCTACAACGTATCAGGAACATCTGGCAAGTTACTGTAAGACGAGGCAGCAGGAGTATCAGGAAGGTCGTGCAATTTACTTACAAGTAGGAAGATGTTGCAACGTATCAGGAATGTATTGCAGGCTACTTGACGAAGATGTTGCAAAATACCAGGAACATCATTCAAGGGACTTGAAGAAGATGTGACTTGGTAGTTTGAACAAGTGTCCCCTAAGCCCACCCCAAGTGTCCGCAAGCGTCCCCTAAGCGTCCGCAAGTGTTAAGCTAAAGGGCTGTATCCCTTGGACTTGGTTCCCTAGGCCTACCCCAAGTGTCCCCAAGTGTCCCCTAAACCCACCCCAAGTGTCCCCAAGTGTCCCCAAGTGTCCCCTAAACCCACCCCAAGTGTCCCCAAGTGTTAACCTAAAGGGTTGTATCCCTTGGAGTTGGTTCCCTAAACCCACCCCAAGTGTCCCCAAGTGTCCCCTAAACCAACCCCAAGTGTCCCCAAGTGTTCCCAAGTGTTAACCTACAGGGCTGTATCCCTTGGAGTTGGTTCCCTAAGCCCACCCCAAGTGTCCCCAAGTGTCCCCTTCTCCCACCCCAAGTGTCCCCAAGTGTCCCCTAAACCCACCCCAAGTGTCCCCAAGTGTTAACCTAAAGGTCTGTACCCCATGGAGTTAACTCTGAAGTCAACATACAAAATGTCGGCTTATAATGAGTAAAAAAGTCGGCTTAAATGAGTCTCGGACCATATATTGATACGAAAAGGACTTTTGATCCGTAGCTGTATCCAACCATAGTGGAGACTTTGAACCAACGAGAAAAAAACAAACCTTGGATGCTTCATAGTTACTTTGATGCTTTCAACACTGTGAAAGAAGATCCTCGTAGATGTGGAAGTTGAACTCTTACGAGCGGAGGGGCCGATTCGTTTTGTCCTCGGTTCCCAGGTCCAAAAGAAAAAGATCAAAATGATGGACACGAGCCTTTTGGTTCTGACCATGGCTGCTTGGTGCAAAGAAACCAAGGCGGGACTTGTATGGCATACTGCCAGACCAGCCCCAGACCAGCCCCCTCCCCAGGAGAACAGCACGGACAAGTTCTACAATCACAAGGTCGAGAACAAGCGCCGCGTTCTGAATTTTGAACATGTGTTGCATCATTTTGCTGTAAACAACTCTCCATTTGGCGTTGAAACCACCACACTACTGGTCAAGCCGCAAGCAAGATTCGATGATTTCGATGATTTCGATCTTCCGGTTTGTACTCAGGAAAGCAGCTCATGGCCGCTGATGACTCAGGGGGCCGCGGAATAGGGTGGAAGGATTTTAGGAAGGTCCCTTCAGAAAATGCGGATCCCAACCTTTTTGAGTCACAGCCTGTATGAAACATCGGAAAGGGGACGAAGCGCTAGTGAGGATCATCTATTTGAAGGATAAAAGAACATCGACATGAGAAGTTGGGAGGGGAACAGTTTGTTGAGAATCCCTCACTCTTGCATCTACAAGCTGAAGAATGTGGCATAAATTCATGCGGAATCCTTGATGTCCAGAAGTATCTAAGTCTAGCACGAGGTATAGAATTCGACAGATATGTCATGATCAGTTCAAGTCATCGGTGTGAATGCAGGTAGGGATGTCATGCTTCGGACTCAGGTACAAACCCTCTTCAAGAGTTTTGCCAAGGATTTGGAAGAGGCGTTTCGGAATGCCCCCTGCTTCAGTTTCCCAATTTTAGTGTTAGGCAGTGGCTTGAACACCTGGATAGCTGCCGTAACAAGGGCCTTGGTTGGCTCAAGTTGGCTCGGGATTCCTATGACAGTGGCACTGCTGGTTGAGCATGGTTGATCCGTTTTGAACATGTGCAAAAACTGACAAGTTCTGACTGGAATGCAAAGCGAGCCATGAGAATTCCACACTGAACAGACACGAATACATTCACACTGGTTGCGCTTGTGTCACCACCATTTGTCTGAACGATGGCGCATGAGCCAGCTTGTGCTTGCAGCTCAGAGAGCCAACAGTAGGTGTGTTCCGAAAACCGCAACATTGAAGTAGCATATTATCTGTGATCCAAGGTCATTCGTTATGCCGATGGCGATGAAGAGGAGCTCAGTGGGTGAAGGATTTAAATTGAAACTTGGTCCAATTCCTTTCGCCAATGGAACCTCCAAAGTCTTTCAGCTTCGTGCTGTTTGATGTGCTAGGAGTGGCCTATAGAGCCAGAACTACTAGCAGCAGCTCGTGTGTCGAGCCGTTCTGCCGCAAGGTGGGAATCCCATCCAAGTTGGCTGAGAGTTGCATAGATGTTCTTTTCCCCCTGATTGGCAATCGTTTGATATGTAGCTTAGACAACCAAAGAATACCAAAGATGTTCTTTCCACCCACTGCCCACTGATTGGTTGATGAATAAAGGGCAACCCGCATTCTTGTCAACAAATAAGCGAATGATGGTCAATGGCATCCCAAACTGGCTCTGTTGCGAGGCCTCTCCAGCGTCCAAGCTATTTGTTTGAAGGTTGGATCAGTTACTGATCAGTTGATTCCGCAAGTGTGAAGATAATTGGTCCAATGGTATTTCAGAGGATGTTGATATGGAATGATATGGAATGATAACTGAGTTGATTCCATCCAATTAAAAGAAACAGACCTCCTACTTTCCCAATTTCATCGTCATCGTCTTGACAGGTCTGCGTGCACAGCCCTTCTGGCCATTTGAGACCTTTCCAAAGGCGGCAAGCAGTGCTCTTCACCCGGAATTGAGACTGCATTAACCATCGCAGTATTTCATTATATTTCATTTGAAATTTACATGGTTGCAATGGTTGCATTGCTTGTGAAGACCTCAGAATTTCATTAAAACCGGGACAGCAGGACACTAATTTCGTTGAAATCCTGGCAGGTCGTGGCTTTGCTGGAGGTGCAGTGCCCCGCTCATGCAATGACAAAGACAGAGTTGGAGCTTTTCTTCACTTTCTGCAGGCTTGTGCACCGGATCTGTCCGAAGAGGCATCCTGTGACATTGCGATTGATGTTGGTCACCAGAGTCAACAGCCACCATGCTCCTGAGATCGCGTGATGGCAGATGTTCAATATTCACCTCTCCGACTTTCCGAGAGGAGTCAAGGGTTTTAAGTTTTATATTGATTGAAAGACCATGACAGAACCATCTGCATCAGCAGGTTCAGACTCTTCTGGAAGATGAATTGTCTGACTCCAGCGAGGCTCGGCAGGAACTGGGAACCCAGATCAGATTATGCCATACATCCGATGCTGGAGCCACTTGATTGCCCTCAGGAGTCAGGGACATCCTTGTCAAGGACAGAGAAATGATGCGCAAATCTGGGCGCTTCTTGACGAATTCGCCCTGGTTCCTCCATTGAAATTCTGATCCATGTTGTGCACTTTGTATTCAGCTTGTCTTCTTGTTGTCTTCTTGCACTTGTTCCTGTCATTGCGCTGAGAAGTCAGTGAATGTCTTTGCCAGCCATGCCGCCCCTACGGTTTGGGCTCAAGTCGTAGAATTTTGGCCAATTCAGTCGTACCCTGATGATCTTCCTTGTTTGCAGGCGTTGCAGACCATATGTTCTGATGCTGCGGACCGTGAACATCCGATATCCCTCTGGTCGACTTTTTGATCACCACACCGTGATCAACTTGGATATGGCCAAAACATTTTAGGAATCGGTTTTTGCGCTGCCATGGCGGTCCGAGACTGCACACTCGCTGGGCCATGGAAAATCTCTGTTATGCGGTCTGCGATGGCAGCTTCGGCAAGTTTGAGCGGACTCTGATAGCTGAGCATACATACTGAATAGCTATAAAACAAATTGGAAAATATGCAGTATATCACTGGGACCCGATATCACAGAGTTGCCATAAGTTTCCAAAGAATATCTAACGGTTTGTTCCTGTGCCTGTGCCGATTTCCCCAATGACAGTTGTCGAAGGTTGGTTGGTTCACAGCTGAGGCACCACGGCCCGTAGCTGTGCACCAGCCGACCTTTCGTCAGAGTTCACCCACGGACCGGGGAGAATCTTGACAAAGAAACAAAGCGGTTCCAAGCAGAGGAGTTACTAAATGCTTGGAGGATAGTTTCAGCAGAGGAGTTGGCTGTTGGAACAAGTGGCGTTGCGGAACATTCGGGAGCTACAATGGACTCTTTGGAAGGGTGTGGACCTTGAGATCTTTTGAAGACATTCTACTGTATAAGATCAACTTGCTAGTAGGTAGTAGAACAACCGGGAACTATGTGCAATTAAGTGACTACCTCCTTGTGCACCCAGAATCCAGTAGAGCCATGTTTTCATCGCAAGGCACATAGGTGTCAAAACCTGCGACCCTGGGAATGGCTGAGTCGTTTTAGAGACGTCTTGCTGGGCTGCTCCAGAGGAAGCAAAGTCAACTTCTCACGGCCTGTGGGGATGGCGAAGGCTTTTCTCACTGGTACTGGTTGGAAGTAGCCTACCCGAACCTGCAGTCCCTTGGCTGGATCTTGTGATGATGAAGGGTAGATGATCACATTTGGTTTGCAAATGTCTGCAATTCAGCCAAGGTGCATTTCTGTTTAAAGTGAGTGATCTATACAAACCAGAATGGATACTTTTCGCACATGTCTCATATCCAAAAGTGGTATTTTGGTGACCAAGTTGGCATCAACTGCATCCTCAGCGTCAACTCCCACTGCTGTAATCTTTCTGCATGGGAGCGGCGACTCTGGATCTGGGCCTCATGGCTGATGAAAGTTGTTTCCCTGGCCCATTGGCTCAGGTTGTGTCTACCATGTTGAGTGGCGCAAGTCCTCCCATCTCTTTTCTCTGTGGATTCTCAGGTTGAAACGATACATTGAAGCCCTCAGCGATTTGGTGGAAGAGCTCGAGTTTCGAGATGTGCAAACATTTTGGCCAAACAGTTCGCCGCAGCCGCACCATGGCTGAATTGACTATCAAGTGGCGATGTTGACCACCTACTTCTCAGCGTATGAGCAGGACTCTATGTGGGATCAAATCGCTCAAATCCATTCAACACCATGTACTCGTAGCATTGTTTAGCATTGAGCGGTTGGATACTGGGGAGGAGCAAACTTGTGGTTCCTTGGTAGAGTACCCGTTTTTTGAACGTACCTAACGGATGTTTGGATTGTGCCATCATCAGGTCTTCCTGCTGGCATGCTCTGAAAATCGTGCTCACCCGCTTAGGTACACACTCGCTGGTGGCATTGTTATGCCCATTTGGTATGACGCTTTGCGCAAAAACTTGAGCGAAGCCAATTCTGGCTTCACAAAATGTCGGCGCTTCTCTGTTTGGACTACATGTTGCGAAGGTTGAAGAACAAAATAGAACAAGGAGTGCTTATTGGCAATATTCCAATATGCTGATGGATCAACACCTCCTTTTGGATGAACATCCATAAATCCCAGCTATTTTAGGTGTGAACACCAGAGTACCTGTTGGTTTCACTGATGTTCCTCCCAGGACCGCGCCGGACTTGCACCCAGTGCACCTGAAAAAACCGACTCGGTGGAAAAGTCTGTGGACAGCCTCATGAAGCTCGTACAAAAGGTGAACATCTGGGATGCTCTGGGATTATGTGGCACTGACTATGAGAATTCATAGTAATATAATAGTCATAGTGCCCATGATGTCAATCTTTGAATATCAGAATCGTAGTAATAGCACTCGTAATATATCATTGTTGTAATAGTTGATAATGTACTTGACTTGTTGATCATCATTACATATCATTACTATATTTACTATTGCTAGTCATAGTTGATCATTCTTTACAACATCAACTTGGTGAGTTTTCGAAACAGTGGTGCAGGTGCAAGCTTCTGGAGTTCCTCCTCAGCGAATCATCATTGGAGGAGAGGGGGCGACGGCTTTCAGTCCGACTTTCCTATACTTTCCTGCTTGAGCCAATTTTCAAAGCAGCTCTCCTCCGAACCTTTTTGCCGGAATAAATTGATAAAAGGATTCTCGATGGGTGGTGGCATTGCACTCCAACTTGCGCTACGACATCCTGAAGCAATCGGTGGAGCGTTCGTGCCCGGAAGCCAAGGGTTTACACTTCTGTGGATCTTGATATAGAAAGTCATGGATGTGCAACTCATAGAAATCCTTATCATCATTGTGCGAGCCGAAAGTTCGAGCCGAAAGTTCGAGCCGAAAGTCTGATGATGATACTCTCCGTAAGCAGTGAAAGCCTGCGAGGCTTTCGTCCTTTATGTGTGATGATGCTGCCGCGTATGGCCGCGTTCAGGCGCCAGAGTTGTGAGGTCCTCAGACCGGAGTTGACTGAGTTGACTGAGACCAGTTCAGGCCACCTGGAGAAGCTATGAGAAGCTTAGGTCCAAAGTGCCAATTCTGATGATGCACGGAGAGGTGGGGAAGTTTTTGAATGCTACTGCTACTGGTGACCCCTGGTGATTGTTTAATATTGTTTACACATACGAATCATAGTACTTCTGTGAAATTACTACTAATATCATTGCTATATACTATATACATATATAGATTATATATCACAAATATGATCTATAGTATCATTTAGTATCTACAAATATGATCAACTACAAGACATTGATACTTTTGTTAACCCCCCAGGCGGATCGTTTCATCCGCCCCAGCTGGGGCCGTGGCACCTTCGAGCGCCTGCAATCCTCGGGCGTGGACGTGGACTTTGTCTCGGTGCCCGGCTTGCAGCACGAGATGAACAGCAAGGAGATATGGAAAAAGATGCTGGTTAGTAATGGTTACTCATGCTTAGTAATGGTTAATGGCTATTATTTGAGGTTTTTAGTTTTTGGTATTATTAGTGATTAGTAATGGTTATGCATGGTTATAAATGGATTTTAATCAGCTCTCATTGGGATTTTAACCATTCGATATGGGGATTTGCCATTTCCCCATTAGTTCCCTCATAGTAGCAACCTGTTCGGTGTCAGAATAGTTTTTTTCTTCTCCCAAGTTCTGTCACTAAAAAGAACCATATTGATGATCATACTACCCCAAGTTTTGCTGTTTTTTTTTTAAAAGAGAAGCAATCAAACAACCCCAAAACATCATTGCTGCATTGCCGTGTTGGATTCCACATGTTTGTAGACTGCCAAGTCACTGAGTGAGAAGTTGAAAGGTGACAGCATACGTTGCCTGCATGTCCTTTGGAATCATGGGTCTCACACGGGATGGTCCACGAGACACAAACGAACAAAGTATTTCTTGTTGAGTGAATGCTTGTGCTTTGAGCAGGAGATTCAACTTCTGCGCGATTGGCTGTTCAAGACGTTGCAGCTCGATTGATGGAAGCTGCGGAAAAAATGCCTGATTGCCAAGCTCCTTTGTGAGAGAATTCCATACTGCTTCCCGAAACTTCTTATCACCCAGACCCTCCACATTGTGTTGACAGAATAGAGGTCTTGGCACAGCATCCTCATGCTCATCATGTCTGCAAGCATGGCTTGAGCACCGGGGCAACCAAAACCGCATGTTCAACACCCTCCGTGCAAATGTGCAGGACGCAAGAAGCCAAGAGACGCAAGACTACAAAGGCCACATCCCGAGGATGTGCAAAGCCGGAGGTCGTGTCCAGAGTGCTAGAAAATCTGTGCACCTCCAAACACAGCCGGCTGGTCTCAAAAGCCAGTTGAAGAACTGACAACAGCAGATTTTTCCCACTGGTGCCATTGTTGCAAACAATAATATCCGAATCCAGATGTTTCCAATTGATGTTCGTTCACATGTAAGAAGCTTGAAGCTTTTGGTCACAGTGCGTTTGGCAAAATCAAGCTATTGGTTGTGGTTCATAGATCTGCAGCTTCTCATAGTGATAGTGCTATCTCTGTCAAGTACACATTTGGCGGCCTCTGCTGGCATTCTAGTCGCAATGCCCAGCAAAAGCTTGGAAATGCAGGCAGGAATCTCAGGCACAAGATGGTGCTGTGGAAACTGTCAAAAGGAAGTGAAGAAGCTTATCCTTACAGCTTGCCGTTTTAAAATCTAATTTTGATTGCACCTCAAACTTCAGTTTGAGCACCGTGGACCTTGCAGAATCTGAACACACCTGACAACCCGGCCGAGGTCTTAAAAAGGGGTCGCCAAACAAAGCGAATGGTGGACCTTTCCGAAAATGCGACGGTGCAGGACACGTGGATTGCCATTGAACTCTCAAGTTGCAGCCAAGCACTGGTTTCTGGTCATCTTGTTTTACTCCCAGGAATCCTTTTCTATCCTTTTCTCCATTCCTGTAGAAATAGAGGTCATGTTGCACACACGGCATCTTCCGTTTCAGGACATTCTAATGAAGCTTGAAGCTCTGCTGCTTGGCAAGAGTTTTGAGAGGACTCCCTCTGCCGACTCTGCCGAAAGGATACCAACGATGCTGAAAGGTTGCCATTGGGCTGGAAATATCACTGATATTCACTGATATCATCCACTGGCACTTCCCGCGCAGCCCGTGCAGCACTGGCAAGGTCTGGAGTCCCTTCCAAACACCTCTTCGTGGCCGAGCTGCGAAATGTGCAGAAAGTTCGTCTCTTCTCCGGCGAGGTGCCAGGGAAATTCAAGCAATAAGCTTCCAAATTGGCACCGACAAAACCAAAGAAGGCCCGAGGTTTGGTACCAATTTACTTTAATGCACATTTGAGCTGTATTAAAAACCCGGTAATACTCAGCTATGTATTCGGTGATCCTTGGTGCATAATTCGCTGCATCGCCGCACCTAATTCTGGCTTTAAACTGTTTGAGGGTAGTCCATTTAGGTGGGGAACGACATCTGGAACGACATCTGAAACGACATCCAAATCATACATAGACATATATGAGTTACGGTCAGAATACCTGTAATTGAGTTTAGTATTGAGGGGTCCAAAGTTTCTAATGAGTTATAGAAAAGCATGGAAAACGATATGGCCCCCATGTGATGCTTCACATCCTGATCAGCTTCTTCGCTTGGTAGCCCATAGTCATGACCAACCAGTGGGTTGTCGAAGAGCGCATGCGCATGAGTGGAAAGAACGTTGGCCAGATCTACAGTGCCTGGGCTGTATGTGTTCTGTGGATTTCAACGTCGGATGGAACGATTGCAACGCTTGAGAAATGGAGGACTGGATGATGAGAACTCTGGCTCAGGGAGCAGCTCTTCAGATTCCGACAGCACAGACACAGAACAAAGTGATCATTGATGTGGAAAAAAAATCAGAGCATGTCGTTTGCATTGCCAGCACTCAAAATCCATTCCTTTGATGGGCATTTCAAACGGCTGGAATGGAGGATTTGTACCCCGTTCAGGACCATATTTTTAGGTAATTATCCTTCACCTAGCCTTATATAAACATATATGACCCTTTTCCATTTTCTGAACACAATACAAAACAATCATTCATAGTTCTATTTCTCCGTATCTCAAAAGCATCCAAGATTCCGTCTGGCGATATTAATATATAATCTGGAAATGTGGAGGTCCTATTGTAACATGAAGACCGCCGCATGGAATTACGATGATTTGTGGTTGGGATCAGCATTTTCAAACGGGGTTTTTAATACGACTCATTTAATGATATTTAATGGCAATTTATCACTCTTGGGGGGTAACTTGTAACATCTTGTGACCCTCCCAGTTGTGGCTTTGTTCAGTGCAGGCTCCGATTGGCAACTTTGAGATTGGCGGCTTGGACACTGTCAAGGCGTCCGTTTTTGGGCTGCGGCAACTCCCCATCCTTCGGGCTGATCCATGGAATCCATGGGTTCGCAGGACCTACCTGAAGTGATCCATGTGGAGCCCGGGGCTTGGGTGGAAACTGATGGGACAATCATGGGAATCGTTGAGAATAACATTTGAGAATAACATTTGTTCCATTCAACTGTTCCATTCAACTTGCCATAGATTGGTGTATCTCCCATTTCTGGGCAGATCCAGATTCGCTTTCTTTGTGCAATGTTATGCTACTCCGATTTGATAGGCATCGTCCAAACCACAGCCACAGGATAGCAGGGGGCATTGGTGCTCTGACACTGAGGCACTATGTTCAGCTCAGCGTCCATCAGGCCCTGGAGTCTCCTGTCTGATGATCACAACCATCCCTTCGCATTGTTGCTACTGCGTGTGCCATGGTCAGTTGGATTGTCTACCCATTAGGATTCCAAAGGGTGGGATGACCCATATGTTTTGACCATGGCACAAGATGGCATAAGCGTATGTGTGATGCATTGCCTAGAACCTGACATGTCACGTCCTGTCACGTCCTGTCATGTCCTGTCACGTCCTGTCACGTCCCATGTTTCAGCTTTGAGGCTTTTGAATGACCTCCAGGAAGTCTACCAAAAGGCCTGGCCAGATCGGCCAGGAAGCGAAGCGGACAGATCGTATTCGCGTGCTGTTGCCTTGTGGGAATTCAGAATTGAATACAAGTACCAATCCAATTCAATCCATGCCCATTTTTCTGATCTGACATCAGTTCAGATCCTTTCCAGGCTCACATACAGAAGAAATTGGCCGAACTACAGAAGTTCCTTGGCAGAAACAGAACCACTCAATATTCATATCTTCTCAGTGGAACCTGCTAGCACCTCAGGTCGTTCATCGACGAAGAACGGGATGTACGTCACTACGGCCTGCGTGTGGTGACTTGGCTCCGTCCAATTGATGGTTGATCAACCGGATCCAGATTTTCCCATGAATTTTCCCATGGATTTTCCATGCGAAAATAGCCACCGGGAGGTATACACTCTCTGCATCTTGGTCGCTGAGATCATTTCTTGATCCCAGGAAGAGATTGTGGAGTCCGATCGACAACCTATTTTGGAGAAATTTGGTTTCAAGACTGTCCTAGATCCTGGGACTCAACTCGTGAGGGTTCTTCGCTTTGGCGAAAATAGGCTGACTCTTTGTCGGACAGCCAAAGGAATTCTTTCTTCCTATCGACGCGATGCAAACACTGTTTTTTTCCCCTTGTAGTGGCCTCAGTCGCCAAGCGAACTAAGAATATCCTGGTTGATCTGACTTGATCATTGGCCTGTCACGTCGTGTACTTGATTTCTACCAAGGAAATGTATAACGCCTTTGTCGGAGCAGATGCGGACGAACGAGTCGTGGCAAAGCAGAAGGATGTTTTCGCTCTGTTTCTGGGCGTATTGTGTGTATTGTGTGCGATATTTGGGCGAATCGGCGAATCATCTGATCATCTGTACTTCCACAAAGTTTTTAGGCAGTGTTTGCTGGCAAGCCCCTTGCCAAAGAAATGGTAGTAGCAGTAGTGGTAATCCTCAGTGAAATTCAATGGATGTTCGAATTTGCAAGATGTTCCAAGATATTCTGTGCGTCTTCGACTTCCAATTCTTGTCAGGGTGTTGGGCAGCAATGGGTTTTCAAACTGGGTCAGGCTTGGACACAACTTCGAGTGGCATCCGAAGTCTTCCAAGGTGTGTGTTTTTTTTGAAAACAGATGTGCCACTTGAAGCTGATCCAGCTTTGTAGCAAGGAGGCTTTGATCCTGGTTCAGCTTTGCCAGAACCCCTAGCAGCTTTGCCTGACAGTAGTGCCGTCCACGGAATGGAGGACTGTGGCAGTGCTGAAGCGAACACTTGCCGAGCATGAAATGTAAAAACATGTGGCATGTGTGCCACTCCTAACCGGTGTAAGAGATGCAGCCTGTTTGTACATTCGCAGCTGAGAATGTGGTACAGCCTTCCAGGAGGATGTGGCTGCGCTGGTTTGATTTGATAGCTCTTGCCATTGCGCTTAAAAAAGGCGGCCTATTGCTCCGAAACTATCCGAAACTTCCAAACAACATCAAACAGTGTCTGTGGTTCAACACCTCCATTCATTTTCTGCGTATCTTTGTTACCAAAAGGGCCCTTCGTTCATCAACCTGAGGCTGATGAGAAAGCAGAATCAAGTTCGTGAGGTAGCCTGGCTGGGCCTGGCTGGTGGTGTGTTGGACCCATAGCTTTGCCTCTTTGAACAATTCAAGATCTACCCTCTGGCCATTTAACATAGCCATGGAAAATGTACGTTAAATAACCAGAGGGTTGCATTGGTGAAACATGATGAACCAAATGTAAACCATGCACTGATAAAATCGAAAGATTTTCATTCGTCGCGTCAAAACGAGTGAGGTCCTTCAGATACCTCACCCAAGTCACGATAAAAGCAATAACTCGCCTATCAAGTCAGACCCGGGATCTTCAAGAAGTGAGTTGGGTCCAGGTCGCTTTTTCCCCCTTCATTCCAACTTGTTCCAAGAAAATACAACCGGATGTTGCCCGGGAAACTTGTGCATTTCAGCATTTCAGGGCCTCTGAAAGTTGCCATTTGCAATGCCCTCGAGGTGGAGGAATCACTGCTGTTGTCATGGCCAAACTGCTTGTCATTGCTACCAACAAGATCATCAGTATGCATCATTACTACATTACGCATCAATGATTATCAGTACTAAGAGGAATGTTCATCCTAACTACTAGCAATAAGAATAAGAATGTAACACAATAAATGTAAGACAATATCTACTCAACAATAATCACACAATGGTATCACAGCTTATCATTGGCATGGAGATGGATCGACACCTACCACACTTGGGTGGGAACATCCATTGGTCTCTCATCTGAGGCCTTGGCAACAGCAAGGAGAAGGCTTACATCAAGGCTGGGATGGATCAAATCGTATTGGTTTCCATATCAATGATCGACGTAGCGGCTATCTGCTGAAGGACTCCATCTTTGTTTCCGTTTCTCCGCTCAAGGTGTTTGGCTGAAGTTGGAGATTTGGGCCAAAGGAGGCTGCCGAGTTCTTGTTTGTCGATCACACTGGGCTGCTGTTTCTAACCAAGCAGTAACATCGGCCAGGAGCATGCAGCAATACATAGCAATACAATTCTGGAAGATTACCGTCCGAGATGAACAGTGCTGCCGAGCCCCTGTCTAGCCTGTCTGAATACCACCATTGTTCAGGCCTCGTCTCCTCTGCGAAGGCTGTGCCACGGGCCAGTGCAGCTATTTCTGCGGCAATGGCTACAGGTGAAGCCATGGCTTTTGCACCTGGCCGGGCAGCGTTGTCCTACATGATGCAGGGGAGCCTGACTCGGAATGGGAACCATTGGGAACTCAGGTGGGACCCCAGGTCTTCCAGACAGTTTTGGGTGTGTTGACCGCAGTCTCAGCTCTGGGGTTTTTGGGGAGCCCCAAAGCCTCGAGGGCGCAAGACAAGGGGTGCTTGGACAGTGTCGACTTCAACCAGATGACTCGAACTGCAGCACGATATATGTTCAAGTCGATCTGGACAGAGTTGCTGCCAGCTAAATTAACAGACCATATGCATCCATACAGCAATGCAATGCGAGAAAGACTGAAAGACTCAACAGAATGCAGAATGCCTCGGATCGAGAACACAATTTTTGAATGACAAACCAATAAACAAATTTTAAGGACCCCTCTATAGTCATCCTCATGCTGCAGCTTGGTTTCCAGAAATAAAGCTGCATGTTTTAGTCAATCTCTGAAATCTAGTAGTGGATGCTTCTTGGGATGATTCTTGGCACCTAAAAGCAATGTCAGATGGTTTTTGGATGTTTTTGGTGTTTATCAAAAACATTTTTTGATGTTTTCAGGTGTCTTACATGAAATATCTCAAAGGTTTTTGGTGTTTTCTGATGATCCGCTGATGGTGGACTGCTTCCATGCTCTGCGAAGTTAACGATGGACATGGAGAGCTGCGACATCTCGTACCCGCTGAATGAGGAGGCTCAGGCATGGCAGAAACAGACCTGAAGGGAGCTGTGGGGCTACCCCAAAAACGGCTATTTATATCTATTTATCATTATTTATCTGGAGAACATGATGATTAACCAATGGATTTAGGGCTTAGTTATTTTCAGACATGGCCATGTAGATGAGATTGTGTTTTTGAGTATTGTTGTATTTTGTTTCACTCAGATTTTGCTGCTACTAATCGAAAGATGCAGGCCTTTTCACGAAACTGATTCTTGGAATGGTTCATCTCCTAATTTTTCTTGGAATTGCCAAGCAAGACAAATTGGAGTTTCGTGCTCCACCCCTCCATTCGCTGCACTTTCTTTTGTTCAGGCGCGTAGCCTTTGGCGCCGGCGTTGCCCATCTTGGTCCCGGTCAGCTGGGCAAGACTTGAGTTTTTGTGACGAAATTTGAAGATATGCAGAGAGAATTAGTGGCTGCTTGTAGATGCTTGTAGCTTGTTACCCCATTTTGATTCATTTTGCGTTTCGAAGGAATTTGGATGTTCGGAGTGATGGATTGCAGGCTAAGATACATCCTCCTGGCAATTGGTGGCGCGTGTGTTCTTTTGGGGATAGTCTTGCTGTGCGTCTGGCTCCTCGGCTTAGAATTAGATGCTGAGCTGATTGCCATGAGTCGACAGCAAAGAAGTTGCCATGTACACATTTCCAGTCGCCATCAGTCGCCATTCGCAAAAAGTTAGGGATGCAAACAGCGCTGTTCGTCATGGTGAGACTGGATCGTTCGACAAATGTTACCATTTGCCTTGAAGACTTTGTCGAACTCCAGGCTGTACAGGTCCCCGCAGCACCCCTTGCATCCAGCTAGACATAGACGTGCGATTCTCGATCTTTCCACATAGGTATCATACATATTATATATATAATACAATAATAATAATACGTATATAAATGTATATAATATGTATTCTATATCATATATCTCAACTGGGAAGACATACAGGAATGGGTCAAGACCCAACCATTTGAATGCTAGGATTGACGTCAAGTCCCCATTTTGATATGCACTTCCAGTGAAGGCACGGCGGCTCACCTCGCCCCTTTCCTGTGTCTACAGAGACGACAACGGAATATCCGCAGCCACTCTGCAAAGGCAAGGGGAAAGCTGTCAGAAAACCAGAACATTCCGAAGCAGAACTGGTGTGTCTGAAAATGAGGGAAACCAATGTGATCAACCAGTGTATGGAATGCAGTATCTTACTTTCAGACAAGACCAACTTTCATTTCAATGACTTGTAGTGCATGATGACCTTATGCAGGTGCCAATATCTCTGGAGTGTCTGGTGCGGCAGCTTGTTTTTGCCTCTACGGTGGGAGGCCCGCTTGGCTCGCTGACATTTGATGCTTCCGTGGTTGTTCTCAACGTGGTTTCATGCAAAAGTAAAGCCCTGATGCGGCCGCTCTTTTTCAGCTCTTTTTCAATCAAAGAGAGCAAGTCTCGCAAATAATGGCATCCCATGTAATCTATGTGACAATATCTGACAATATCCGACATGCTGCCGTTCCCATCCCAAGTTCGGTTGATGATAGCCATTTCCATCATGTGGTGCAAGAACCGCATCGTACTGGGAGGTGCTTGCAGCACTTTCATTGCGGAGAATCTGTCCCGCATTGCCAAGAGTTGCATTGTGGAGAGCATTCGTTGGAGATGACGCAGTCTGTGACGTCCTTCTTCAACATCAGGAGGGGCGATTTCAAGCTCTTGTTCTTGTTGTCACTGGTGTTTAGTTTCAACAAATGTTTCCAAGAAGGTTCAAGAACTCAGTATTAGTATCTTCCCTTTGTTTTCAGCCGTTTACTCTAGAGCATTGCACTTGGCCTTTTGATATCGGGATTGCGCGCATGGCAAGGCACACCAGTGACGTCTTGAGTATCCCCGTGGAGCGTTTCCGAGATATCAAGAAGCTGGCGGTGGACTGCGCCTTGTTCTTGATGCGGTGCTTTGTAGAATAGGGGCACCGGGGCACCCCCAACTCCCGAACCACAATTGGGGAGCCCATGGGAGCCCTCATTAAAAATTGACTTCGATATATGCTTTGATGATTTTGGGAGTCTGCCATTTTTCTGGACCCAGGCATGTGGCTATGAGCGACACCCATGTCTTGTTGAGGCCCTGATCATGCTGAGCAACTTCTCACCGAGATGGTGGCAGTGGGTAGACGCGTTACTTGTTTGCGCTAACAACCAGCAGTGTTTTAAGGCTTTGATAATTATAGAAATGAATATAGATGATGCATTAGATGCGCTGTTTTCATTTCTGCATTCTTCATCTCCATATTTAGGTCTTTGCTGAATATATCGGTGGAACGCCGGAGTGGCAATGCGTGCATTTGCAACTTGGCTTCTTCGATTTGGTATGAATCTGCACTGCTATCCGATTGCTATCCGTGGAAACCCTCTAACATCAGATGTTAAGCTGTTGTGCAGTTCGTGTGTGCGACTATGATTGATAGTGTATGCGTGTTTTTGCACCGCTGCTGGGTGGTTGTGATAAGACCGTCCCATTTTCAGAGTAATCATGTAACCATTTTATTTGACCAATCCCAACTGCAATCATAAGATTTTGGCTTGTACATCAAAACAAAGGTCTAGATTTTAGTTAACTTCAGATATATATTTGTTACTGGTTGGTGAATTCAGTTACAGTAATTAGGTCTCCAAGTTTTTTGGTGAGTCAACCAGTTATAACATGTTATAACCATATTATATATATAAAACATTTATAACCTAAGTTCATCTCCATTTTTTTTGTGGTTTCCGCCGCAGGTATCCCTACATCAGCGTCCCCTGGCTCCATCTGCACACCTTCGTTGGTGCGGTGAAGGAGGAGCATCTGCCGAGCGTTCCGCCCCGGGCGGCCTGTGCCCATGCCACAGCGCCATAGCTATATAATGCTATATATATATAATGATTATATATGGCTATATGGCTATATTCACGTCGCTTCGCGACGGCAACCGCCCGCACCGCATCGTTCTCTTCTACTGCCATTGTTCTCTTCTATTGCCGTCGCTCCGCGACAAGAACCCCTGTGCGGCCGCCACGGTTTGAACGATGTTGTTCTCACACCTTCGCGACCGCTCGTAACTGCCAATGATGTCGGCCATTGAGACCAAAAACATCCGAAAGTACTGATTGTCGGAAAAAAAAAAGGCGAAGAATTTGATAGCCATGTATAGCGGACCAACGCAGTTCAAAAAATAACGAAAAACATGAAAAAACGGCGAAATTGCTGTTATTTACAGTGTTTTTGCGCGGTGAGAAGCAGAAACCACTGCAAATACCATGGTTTTTGAGGGTCAGGTGGCCAAAAACACTGTAATTTACAGTGTTTTTTTAACCAACGTCAAAAAACACTGGTATTTACGATGTTTTCATTCACACCGTAACATAAAACAGCGTAATTTACGAGGTTTTTGGAAGTTTTGAAGCTAGCCGTCAAGCATGCAGAAAACAGAAAAACACTGTAAAAACCAGTGTTTCTGCTATCACAAAACGACGAAAATCAGTCCGAAAACGGGTCCAAAAACTCAAAAATCCGCCTCCGGGCCAGGCCACCTGCGGAACCGCAAAAAAAGATGTTGCAAACCAAAAAATTGAGGTCAAAAAGTTGAAAAACACGGGTTTTTTTCACTTTTCGCTTGCCGATTTTGGACGGGCGCGTTCACGAACAGGTGTCTTCCGTACTGTTTTTTACAGTGTTTTTTGAAGGCGAGCGTCACGACCTATCAAAAACAGGAGGTTTTGGCCGAAAAATGGGACCCCCCCCCAGGTAAACCTGTAACCTTTTACGAGTGCCATCCGGAAGATCACGCCCCAGCACCTTCGGTGCGGGCGGATTTCCATTCACAAGTGGAATATGATGGAATGGAGTTTTGCCATCATTTTAATAAAAAATGTATAACATGACATTGAGAAATAGCCCACAATTGATGGCCGGTTTGATAGGGAACATGTGGGAGAATGATTCACCAGTGGAAGGAATCCGGTTTTGCCACAATTTGAAGACAACCTATTTTGTGGAGGAAATTTGTTTGTTGAACAGATCCCTGATACAGGACTGACGGATACTTTGGGGCTCAAAAATGATTGAACACCAAAATTAACGGTTGCATACTCACTGTGAAAATGTGTGATTGTCTAGTATCTGATCATACTCACAGTGAACAAACATTGCTGTGAGATGAGCTTGTAAATATTTGTAAATGACATTGCCCAGACGCTCATCTGAGGTGCCAGAGTCTGAAGCAGCAGCCACGATACTGGCGCTGGTTTGATATGAGTTCGTTTGTAGAATCAACTGAATCAGGCGATGTGTTTGCATAGTGCAGCATTGCGTTGTGGACTGCGCAAGGCGCTAGGCTGTCAGCATGTTGAGGGATCGCCACTCGAGGTGAGTCACTTGTGACACACAAGTGACTCATGTGGAGAAAGGTTTCGATTTCATAGCTGGGCATAACAAAGTTCAACTTGTGTAAATATGCCCAGCTTGTGTGCAAAGTTCACACTCAGACTCAACGCATCGCACCCTGTATCTCGAAAAGGTCAGCGGTTGGGAAGGGACCAATCGCATGCTGCGCCAGACGGCCCAAGGTGTGGGGTGGACGTGTCGCCACATTGCGGGCCGACGAATCACCGTTTGAGGCATGGTGAGTGAAAACCTCCAGATGTCCCAGCACGGTCACTGAAGTCAGTTTAAACATATGTAAAGGTTATACATAGCACATAGAATTTACGACCAGCAGCATTAAGTTCTGGATGTCCAAGCTCTGAAAGTCAGAGTTTCAAATCCCTTCCGACATCCCAAAGATTTGATCCATTGAAACAGCCATGTTTTTTTCGCCAGGCTCCACTTGCCTTTGCTGCTTCCCAAGAAAGCCTCACGCTCCGCAGGACTCACGGTGGCCGGTGAGGCGCGAGCCCCGGTTTTTTGTGTTGAGCTTGGTGATTCGGATGCATCTCTGGTTGGTGGTTTGGAACATGTTTTATTTTTCCATTGGGAATAATCATCATCCCAACTGACGAACTCCATCATTTTTCAGAGGGGTGGCTCAACCACCAACCAGATATTCTAGCTATATATACATCATTATACATCCTCTTCAATGGTCACAGTGTATCTACAGCAGGCGCGCGACTGGGAGCTTCACAAGCGCCGGCCGCAGTGCCGGTTGATGTTGACCTTGCCGTGGCGAAACCTCTGCATAGCTCATCATAGCTCCGCTCGGATTTTCCCCGCTAATCGTTGCAAAGGTATTTCTTGAGTACGCACACATGAAGATTATGTATACTTATATATATATACTATTAAACTGGTAGCAGAAGTCTATCCACCTCCAAGGTTGTTGTGGGGCCTCCCGACCCAAGGAATACCACCTCCTGATGGTGCTACAAGTCTGTTATACCAATGACCACCTGATCAAGCCACCCCTATGGCGCGCCCAACGTCAAAGGGCTTTTTGGTTCCACCTGCGACCCCCTGATCGATCCTGAGCCCTGTACAGCCACACATGTATATGTGCGTACCCTGCAACTGGCAATGTGACAGCTGGAACTGTGGAATTCACACTCGTAAAAAATTGTTCTTTTCCATAAAAAATTGGTGTCTTCCAAGTGGCAAAACTGGGATTGACGTTCAACAGCTGGGCAATGACTAAGAGTTGCATCCCAAATAGGCCATACGGATCATGTCACAGTGTGTGCGGTTTTAGCGATTTGGTTCATCCACATTTGTTTCGTTCTCTTGTCTGCTCGGGCACGCAAAACCTCGTCGATGTCATGTATTATGCATCGCCCTTCATGCAGGAAACACCTTAGAGGAGTGCAATCCATGGTTTTTGTAAGGCAATCTGCTAGCTGCGCTGCAGAGTGAACCCATTTGATGACAATTCCATTTCGAAGGCGATCCTTTATGATCAGGGCTTCCAGCGTCGTACGATATTCTTGACATTGAGGAACTGTAGTCTTTTGAATCAAGTCATATAGGCTTTTGCAATCCACAATGGCATATGATTCCGGACACATTGAAAGGCACTTATCAGGGTCTTTCCAAAGATCACTGGGTTGACACAACCATGACCATTGAACACGTAACCAGGATAAGAGATCAACTGAACCACTGAGTGCATAGGTTTCTGAAGCCAACGTACTTCCCACAACTCGGGCAATCTTACGGGAGTACCACATCAATGGACTCACTTGGCTGGACTGCCATTCGCCGATTTCCTTGGAAGCAGCTAGAATCAAGCACCCCTTTTGGGACTGAGAATTGGCACGGGTGGCGAACGAAGCGTCAGAAAAGGACACAAAACGCAAATCTTGGATTGGAATACTTTGAATCACAATTTTGGTTCCTTTATGTTGTTTAGCTTCAGTGAGGAGTCTGTTTCCATCCAAAAGATCTTTCACCTGTGCTGAGTTGATCTTTGCCTGAAGGAAGCTAAGTTTGGCCGACAAATCCGGCCGCGTGTTCGTAGCAGCATATTGGATACTACCCACCAGACCTCGTAGGGCTTGTCTCTCCTTTTCGGTGATTAGCTCTTCGGGTGTGGTGCGTCTGTTTCGATCAATGTTGATTGGTGGTATATCTTCGATATATTTCTGTTGATCCAGTTCAATTGAACCATCCCAATTCTGATGAATATGGATTCCTGTAAACGTGAAATCATCTTGCAGCTTGCTTCCAAATGGATATCTGGCCTCCAGTTGTTGTATGGCACGATTAAACGTGTCATCTCCGGCTCCCAAACCATCATCCACATGAATACCAACCAAACCGTGAATACCTGATTGACCTTTCTTAGGCAGCACAAAGGTACAGGGATCCAGAGGAGACATCACAAAACCCAGTGACACAAGAGCATTTTTCAGCTCTTCGTACCAGAGCAATGGAGCATTGCATAGCCCATAGGCGCTTTTGAGTAGCTCACAGCACTCCCAGGGTTCCAGCTTCATCATCGTACGCATTTCTGCTGGAGGCTCCATTCCTAAGACTCTGCCATCCTCACGGCTACCCCTTAAGAAGGCAGTTTGGATGTCAAAACTTCGCAAACGCCATCGGGCTGAGGCAGCATATTGCATGATGAGAACTCTGGCATCACGTCCCATGGTTGGACTGTCGCGAGCCATCTCATCTAGCTGGGGATCTTCATATCCCAGGATGACTAGCCGAGCTTTAGGTTTGTGAGTAGCAGCCGAAGGATCTGTGGGATTGGGTTCAAGAGGTTTCCATGTCAATACCCATCTAGATCGCAGGATTTGTTCTGCAGGAATTTGACTTCTGGCTATTCTGCGGACAGTTTCCGTCGATAGCCATGATGAGATCTCTTTTGATTTTGCATTTTGGAACAACAGCTTATCACTGGGAGAAAGATCCTTCTCACGCACTTCGGAGCGTTGCTTCTTAGCGCTTGATGCAAGAAAGGCAATCTGATCGCCATAAGTTTGTTCAGTGCAATGTTGGATTTCATCAACGGACAACAGAATCTCCATTTCATAACCTTTGGAGGTTTGTTCATGGCAAAGTGCAATATATTGTTCTTGAGTAGGACATTCGTTGATATGTTGTTTCAGGATGGTAAAAATGGTCTTTCCAGTCCAAAGTGTTGGTAAAGGTAAGTGAGCTTGAATGTTGTTTCTCCAAACATCTTCATGTTTCCAAGAGTACCCTTGCTCCGTCATTACATGTGTTTGGCGATCGTCGGAAAGCCATTCGCAAGGAACTGGGCAGTTGGCACAGCTTGTTGGGAAAAATGGCCTTACTCGAGGAGTCTTATGAACACGAATCAGTTGTCTTCCTTGGATTATCCAATGGTCTCCAGTCTCTAGTTGTGGACTCACGCTGTCACTCATCAGGGAGTCTTCGCTTCCTGAGGACTCCGTTTCAGGCACTGGAACTTCGATCGGGTTCGGCTCAATGGGAACTGTCTGCTCTCCACTGTTGGGAGACATCTCAGGCGAGGCATGAGTGCTGGCAGCATCAGGCTCGGCATCAGGCTGTGTCGTGGTGTCGGCTTGTTGTGGATCATTCAACAGTGGCATTGCTGGTGTAGTGTTATTGGATGGAAGGATTGGACTATTATCAGTTTGGGTTATTGTGGGGTTCGAGTGATCGGGGTTAAGACTAGGTTGATTCTCACTGGGACTCGTTGCATTCTGGTTGGGTGACATGGTGGTCGGTGGGACCAAGTCATGATACTGAAACACGCCTGTTCCAAGATGGCTGGCACTTCCGGTGGGTTTGGGAAACGGTCCCAATGCTGCGGACTGGGATGCTTGCACATTCTCAGACTCTCGGCTGGAGAGAGGGCGCACATGTTCTGGGGCACATCGGTAAAGGCGACTCAAATGAGTTAGCCACAGCACGTTTTCCCCTTAACATAGAACGACTCGGGCTGGTCCATGCCATCCCCCGGCTAATGCCCCTTTTCCTTCCCTCCAATACATAACCCAGGCCCCTATCTCATATTGTGGTCTACTGGGACGATTTCGATGCAACAGAGATCGTCGTAGTTTGAGGTCATGATCGGTTTTGATGAAGGCAACACGGGCATTTTCCCTCCACCGGAGGTTTTGGAGGAACATTTTGACCTCTAGGGTTTGGCTACTCTCCGGCAAGTCCAAAGTCTGATCCGCAAGCATGTCGGCAGGTCCAGGCTCCTCATTCATATTGCTGGCAGGGACATGTCTACTCTTACCAAGAACCAGGATTTCAGGGCTATATCCACGGTACCTCAAAAAGACTGTTTTTGGCTGCACAGCAATGTTGGAGGGCCATCTCGAATTCATCATCGCTGCTGATCGGCTGGTCCTGTTGATATTTATCCAGCATGGTTTGCAAAATTGCACCATGTCTTTCGCATCGACCCAACTGCCAATGCGCCTCAGCAGCCACAGTGTGTCCCTTTGTGTCCATGCTCTGTAGGAACTTGCTGAATTCCTCACTACAGAACTCCCCTGCACTATCGGTGATCAACTCCTTTGGTGGACCGGCCCAACTAACCCAATATTTATTGATTAACAATGACAATTGGATTGATGTAGGTCGGTGCATGCATGGGAAGGCAATCTGGAAATTGGTACCAGCATCTACCATATGATAGAACATGAAGTCCTGTCCTTGGTTATTGGTCCATGTAACAGCGTCCATGGAGACAACATCATTGAAACCCCTGGGCATGCTAAGATGGCTGGGACGTGCAAGTCGTGGCCTCTGTCTTTCATGGCATGCTGGGCAGTGCATGTCGCGGATGCCATCAATGGCCTCCTGTGGCCAGCCCTGTTCTTTCAGGACATTTCCTAACACGGTGGAGTCGGGATGTCCCAAATTGTTGTGCATTCGGGTTAATTGTTGTCTCTCTTCGGAATTCAGGGACATGAATTTGGGTCCATGTTGAAACCCTTTGGAAGGCTCAGGATCTGTTATCATATTCGGGTTATTGGTCTCCTGTTTGGGATTCCTGGTTGTGGTCATGTCGTGAGCCTCTGGAGAGCCATTGTTTGGTGTCCGCTCCGTTGCCGCCGGAACAGGTAGTGGAGCTTCGTCCATCCCCGGGCGATTGCATTGGCGCTTGGCAGATCCATCAGGCTCTTCGCCAGCTGACGCAGGGCATTGACTTGGCGAACTTGGTGCATATGGTCGGCTTGCAAACATGGTTACAATCAGTCTGGCAGGAACCCCCTTTCGGAGAAGTTGATTACGTCTGAGATTGCCCCATTCTTCCCAAGCTTCTTCACAAAAGTTACCTTGGCCATCCCTTCTTATCCCCATAGTCATTCTTAGAGGACATTGGCTTCGAGTTACATTTGGGGGAGGGCTTCTGTATCGGTCTGCACCCTTGCATAGCTCAATCCATTGAATCCGACATTCTGGAAACATGGTCTGGGCTCGTCGGAGTAAGTCCCGTTGGAAAGGAACCGTTTTCCTACTCTGGGTGCATGATCGATGGCAACTTTGAGAAACTGGTCAACACGTTGATTCCACACTTCTTGATTTAGATAGCCCTCAGTCGGGGGCTGTTTGTGACTGAGCTTTCTTCTTTTGGAATCGGTTACCTCAGCTGGCTTTTCGGCATCTCGGATGGTGAGAGAGAATTCCTCAGCAGAGCGCTCTTGAACACGGATGCTACATCGTATGCAGCGGGCAATCTTCATGGCAAACGTACGGGTATACAGTTCAGTATACTGAGAAATGTTCACCCGATCCCCTCTGGTGTTTCGGAAAGAACCCTCAACATGGTCATGGTCATGAGTCTTATCACATCTCAAGCTATCGACATATCGATGCATGATTTGAGAAGTGGTCACTATTTGGGTTCCCTTTTGCAGATGATTTCCGGTCATGGGGTGTTTGAGATTACCGGCTGTACACATATCACAACGAGCATGCCACGTGTTTGCCATGATCGTTTCCAGTTCTTCCTGGAACAGCATCTGTGATCCTACCGGTTGCTCCAAGTGTGCATGATAGGATGGATTCCTGTGTCGCTGAAATTCAAAAACGGCATCGCACAACATCAGGTGTACTTGGTCTTCTTCCCGGTCCAACATGATCCTTCTGGCAAGTTCGGGAGTCTTGTGACGATTGAATTCATTCCAACGGCACCAGGCTTTGCACTTTGGAGACAACCACACATGTTTCGGACGCAATCTGAGCAGCCTCTCATAAAGGCGGAATCGCCCCGGCTGGGACTTCAAGTCACCGTCCTGCAAGCTGTGACGCTCAGCCCACAATCCTTGTGCTCTGGCCTGTTGGGTCAGTTGACTTTCGGGACTGCAGTAAATTTCAAAAACATCGGCACGGTGCGTCTTCAACAAAGGAGATTCAGGTAGAACTCCCTTTGAGGCAAAATACTGCCACATTTCTTTGGCTATCCAGTTAGTAGTTCGACTGTAAAAGATGTTTTCCCCCACATCATCTTGATCAATCACGGGATCTAGAGGATTGTCACTGGAGAGTTGTTGCCATGTTCCACACAGGTCAGTCAAAAGCAAGGGTTGGACAGGCATGAGAGTTTCATCAGGCTCAGACTGAATTACTGTGGTTCGCCGGCTGGCCCCTTCAGATGAGCAAGAACCTGCTGCATCACATTCTCGATCTCGAGCATCCTGCGCTGCATGTGTAAGAGTTCCAGAGTGTTCTCCTCTGGCACTTGATCCCATTCTTCGGGTTCCGACTCCAGGTCGATGGGCATCGTGCTGGCTAGAGCCTTGGGGCAGGCTTTGGCCTTCGGCCGAGTGGTGGCACTGATCTCCTGATTGTTCTTCTCCAGATTTTCGACATGCAGCTGAATGAATCGGAGGAACTTGACGTGTTCCGTCTGGCGGCTGTCCTTGTAGGTCTCCGCGAACCACGTCATGTAGCGGTGCTCGGTCACCATGGACGCATAAGTCTTCCCGCAGTGAGCTTTGCCAAACTTGATGGTCTCGTTCTCGAGCTCGGCAAGTGTCATGGACATGATCTGTGGGAGACTCTCGGAACCCCTTTCCGACAGAGACAGACGGCGGAGACGATCGGCCAACTGGTCGAACTGGTGATCCACAGGACTCTGGGACATGGCTGACAACGGAATGACAATCGACGGGTTGTTGGCAGGCAGGGCTGAGCCGATCTTGCTGTTGAACGGCTGGCTTCATCAAACACGGATGCTCTGACGAATAAACTGTACATGTTGGATCTTCGGATTCAACTGGCTGAGACACATCAATGGACCTGGACACCTCATCTTCCCCAACGTCACTGCTCTTATCGGGACTGGCAGCATAGAGCGTCTGCTCTCTTTTGGCGGGATCACGTGTCTGCAAAAGGTCAAGAAGGTCCAGCCTGTACAATTTTCGATCAGTGATCTCAATGGGCACGGTGCGGCCCAGTGCCTTGAAAAAGATCTGGTTCAGACCTGTATCGATGACAGCTCCAAGCGATCTAAAAACACTGTTGGCAATGAGAAAAGGGGTATTTGATGGTACAATCACCACCTTGATCCATCTGTCACCTACTGGAAAGAAAACTGATCGTTTACCCATCACAGAGCTATCATTCCCAAAACGGAAATTAATGGCACATGGGGCTTCTTTCATGGACTGCAGTACACTCTTTGGCAACATTTGACAAAGGTCGGTGAATTGGTTCTGTCCTATCACTGACATGCTGGCCCCAAGGTCCACTATCCCGTATGTTCCCTGTGAGACAAAGTTGATACTTTCCTCCGACAACTGCACCCTCACGGTGGCTAGTTCATGGTTTTTGCTCAGGGGGTCGCAAGTTGAAACCGATTTCTCGCTTTCCTGTCGACTCCTGCACATGTATGGAAGGCGGGCAAGAAAGGCTGGCTTGCATTTGGACAACACCCTATTTAACTCATGAACATGATATGTCCTATGATCATGTTGTGGACCCTTTTCATGGTATGCGGCAGTCATGAGGCATGTCTCCTCCATCATGAAAGCAGTGGCTTCCGGTGGAGGTGCATCAACATCTTCAGGTGCATGGTCATATGGCGGCGGCTGAGCCATGGTGGAAAACACTGTCATACCGGCGAATGCCGTGTTGTTGGTCCCAGGAACATTGGACTTTGTCCTTTGTGGACATTCGGCTTTCCAATGTCCAGGTTGATTGCAAAGTCTACACGTCGATTCCAGGATTCTCTGTGCTAGTGGCTTTCGGAATCGGTTCTTGAAATCGCCTTTGAATTTCCCTTTTGAACCCTTGTTTCCAAAGAACCCACGGGCTTTCACCTTTTCTGTGACTCTTTTCCGCGCTTCCACATAGCTATTGAGACATGTTGCAACTTCTGGGTCATTCTGCAACGAGTCCACTAAGGCCTCTTCGAACTGGGAGATGATGAGTGCATCCTCGTCCCCTTCTGACAGAAGGGTCTCCAAACCAGCATCCTCAGACTGATCCAGAGAGACAAATGCCGTTTCATCCATCTCTTCATCTTCGCGATCACCATCATCGACATGGAAAACATCATAAGTTTTGGTTCGGGGGTTGTTGCGTGTCCCACCCGACTGCACTTCGGCAAAAAACTTGGATCCAAGCAGTTGCAGAGAGTCTACGACCTTCTTGTACTCGAGATTACCCTGTGCGTCTATGATGATCTTCTTTTTGTCTTCAGCCAACAGTCCAGAATTACGAACCAAGACATAGGCCCGCATCTCCTCCAGAGTTGTGCCCATGTTGACCAACTCCTCGAACTGTATCTCATGACGAGCCAAGTAGCTCGAATGCGTTTCATCGCTCTTCTGGACTGTTCCATAAAGAGCCCTCTCAAAACGTTCATACTTGGTCTCCAGTTTCGATTGGCCCCATACTCCTCCAAGGGTCTGTACGACCAGCTTGATGCCGTCAATGGTTTGAACCTTCAACTTCGTAGGGTCCAGTCTGACGACTTTCTGGAATGCAGTTCCTTCACAAAGGAGGCATGCTCTGGGTGCCAATTGCGCTAAGTGCTCAACTGGCCAAATATTGGCCAAGAATTCCAGTCGACGTGTGTAGTCGTTGATGTCGGTATCGCCAGGTTTGAACGGCGGGATCAGATGCCAAGGCAGCTGGTTGCCACCTGTCTGGCCACCTGCTGCAGGGTGTTGGCTTTCCCCCGCACTTCCATCCCCGGATCTCACTCACTTCCGCTGCTTCTTGTCCTCCTCCAGTTCCACGAAGTAGCGGTGAGCCGCAGCTCCGCTACCAGTATTAAACTGGTAGCAGAAGTCTATCCACTTCCAAGGTTGTTGTGGGGCCTCCCGACCCAAGGAATACCACCTCCTGATGGTGCTACAAGTCTGTTATACCAATGACCACCTGATCAAGCCACCCCTATGGCGCGCCCAACGTCAAAGGGCTTTTTGGTTCCACCTGCGACCCCCTGATCGATCCTGAGCCCTGTACAGCCACACATGTATATGTGCGTACCCTGCAACTGGCAATGTGACAGCTGGAACTGTGGAATTCACAATATACACATACAATATACACATATAGTCATAGACATCGCGCATGTCAAGATTGGTGCAATACAATGCATAGCTGAATGCCACTGATTGCGTTCGAGGTGTTTGATTTTCGATGACAGCTTCGAGCATGAAGTCAAGCACAATGCTTGGTCCAGAAGATTTGTAGGAGGTGTGTATGAGTTTGTGTTTTGCCTCGACTTTCTAACGCAGGGTAGTGTTGTGAGTTCTGATCTTTCAAATCACATACTTAAGTTGAATGTTTGTTGGATTTGAGTTGTGCAGTGCTGGTGTTGTCCTCAAATTTCATGGATCTCAATGGATCATATCAGGTCTCAGGATGCACATAGGGTCGGCGTTCGCAAGGACGCGGCCCGTCAGCTCAGCCCAGGTTGCCAACCTTCACCGAGCCGGAGGTCCGTGACAGCCTGTTAGATGAAACCAGAGTGCAGCCCTCTGCGTAGCTCAGACCACCAAAAGCAACGCTGTGGAGAGAAACCTGTGAATGTCTGTGAATGTCTGTGCCTATCTCAGGTTGTGCTGCTCTTAGACTTGTGGCATCCTGATGCAGGCTGACCATGGATGGCAGTCAGAACTCAATCAGGAGCAATCATTGTAGATCCCTTTACTGGATCTCGTGGCTTTTGTCACGAAAGCTAGCGTCAGCTAGCTGGAGTCTTCTTGCTTTAGCAAGTATTGGGGGGGCTGCTCAAGGACATCACGTGATTTTTCACGCGAAAGGGCCCCCCCCCCCCTCCCCACCACCACCACCATCACCACCATCACCACCATCATCATCATCATCATCATCATCATCATCATCGTCATCATCATCGTCATCATCATCGTCATCGTCCTCCTCTCCATCGTCCTCGTCCTCGTCCTCGTCCTCGTCATCATCATCATCATCATCATCATCATCATCATCGTCGTCCTCGTCATCGTCCTCGTCATCGTCATCGTCATCGTCATCGTCATCGTCATCATCATCATCATCATCATCATCATCCTCATCATCATCGTCATCATCATCATCATCATCATCATCATCATTCATCATTCATCATTCATCATCCTCATCATTCATCATTCATCATTCATCATCAGTCATCATCATCATCATCATCATCATCGTTATTCAATTACATTTTATCATTATTGGCAATTATTGTCATTATCACGAAAGCTAGCGTCAGCTCGCTAGAGTCTTCTTGCTTTAGCACGTATTCCGGGGCTCCCCAAGGACATCACGTGATTTTTCCCGCGAAAGGGCCCCCCCCTGCCCCCTCCCCCATATATATCATTGTTATATATCATATATCAATATATCATTGTTGCATCCTCGTTGGGACGAACAATGCCGCGACACGATGATGACAGTCCCTCCGCAACTCACCTCTTCCCTTCCTTCTTTCTCCTACCCCGCTAGCTTTCGTCATCCACCCCCGGCCTCAAGTTTGAGACACCATAGACGTCAGCTTTTTCCAGATGTTACAGCCACGCCATGCTTTTCCTTTCATGGCTGACTCTCGCAAGGCTTTCTCAAAGAAACTGCTGAAAGCAGAGCTCTGCCAAGAGCAAAAGAACTCAGCGACAAGAGACTTCAAAGCCGCTGATTTTGCAAATTGTACTCGCAAGCCTGGACTCACTCCCAGTCCCATACCCGAGATTCCAGCTAATGTAATTGGAGTTTAAGCAGTGGCTGAAGTCTAATTATGCAAACAATAGTCATCATTGATCATCAATATACATACAGTATCTAGTTGAGGAGTGTCATTTGTTCAAACAAGAGCTTTCTTGTCAGACCTGGGCACCCGTTCCCGCAGGGGGGAAATGCATTTTTGTCGCACGCAGGGACTGCAAGTGAACGACGACTCTGCTGGGGAGACCCACAGATAGCAGGTGGGCTACAGGGGCTAGAATTTCCTCTATCACTATCAGAAGACTGATGGTTGCATCATTGATGGGTATGAGGGTAAAGAAAACTTTGCAAACAGATGAACCCGTGAAGCTAGTCCATGTTCCTGGTGAGCAAAGAAAACGAATTGAAACAAGGCAGGTGTTTGCAGCGGGCTAAGTGCTAGCTCCTCAACTGCTCAGGTCATTGCTTAGATCGGAGAGGGCTGACAGCCCTTTTAGGCTGACAATCACTTTCTGCAGGGATGGTTTCTGCCAAAAGATTGTGCCTCCAAATTGTTTCACGCGACCCTGAAAGACCGGGGGTCAGGCAAAGAACTACTTGGAAAGCTGGTTTACTTCTAAGAAGTAAGCCTTGAGTAGGTTTGGTAGCTATGGACATTTCGCAGATATTCTCCGAATCAGAACGTGGAAAAAAATCAGGATGGGAGAGCTGCAATCCGTTGTCCTCCGAGCCTCCGAGCCATTCCAAACTCGAAAACAAAGAGAATGAATATGCCTTGCTGAGCGAGGAAGTCTTCGAGCAACCTCAATATGTAGAAGTCTTCAACTTATGTGCGATTTTTCTTTCTGGCTGGGGATTGGATTTGAACGTTTGTATGGTCCTTTTATGTTGATGTACACGCATTTCGCGCTGCGTAGCCAAGATGCATGAGTTGCCCGGAAGTTTTTGGCTGAAGTGAAGCTAGGCAGTCTTTTAACCTCGCACTGGTGTACAGCAACGTGTGTTGTTCCCATGGTTCAAGCCTCAGAATGCATGAAAATAGATCAATTGTGATCTACATACTCGTAGTATCTATATTAGATTATTGAATAAATACATACCTGATGACATACCTCATATGTGTGTATGCATAATTATACTATATATATATGTGTGTGCATATATATATATATATACATAAATATACGTATACATATAAACACACATATATATAATAAATACATATATAAACATATATATATATATAATATATATATAAATACATATATAAACACATATATATATATACACATATAATCACACACATATATATATATATAAATACATATAAACACATATATATATATACATACATACATATATAAACACACACACACATATATATATATAAATACATATAAACACACACACACATATATATATATATAATACACTATATATAGTATATTATAGAAATCAAGAAAAGGATAGTGATTCACCAGGGATCCCAGGCGGTTTCACCAGCTCAGGTGGAGCCCTCGGAAGTGCAGGCACTGGAAAGTCTGATCGAAAAGCTGACGGAGGCGATCGATGGGGAAAATGGATTGATGCATCAACATATCCCAGAATTTATGTCTTGATATGGACAGCAATCATTATTATCTTGATATTAATATGATGCACATCTTATACAGTGTATATATATATATACATACATTTGAGGCATGGATAATATTCATGATGGATGATCGAATCATGGACACGAGTCTTGAGCGCGTTTCGAAACCAATCGCTGGATGTATACTTTGCTGAGTGGCAGAGCGCGACCCGCGCGTGCGATTTTGTGTCTCTTATACGTATATGGCCCCATGTATAAACACCTGGGAAATAACATGTCTGAAATGTACAACTTCACTGGGAAACGGAGTTGCTTTAAGCTGTGAGTTTGAGTTCAGGATCCTTCACTCCTCTACGATCCAAAGCTCAAATTCTTCAAGGACAGTTTTCTCGGCAGTATTTCATGATATTTCATGGTTCATTGGATGCGGATCACTACCTATAGGTAACCACTGTTTGCGGGTTCACTAGAGGTACGGGGGTACCCATGGCCAGAATGGGACTGCAGCATTGCATGCAAATCCGCATTGGATAAACATGGAGTTGATAGAACCGATGACCCAAAATTGTGTTGCCCTAACTCTCAAATCTCGAGCTATACCCTAAGGACTTCATCTTGAGTTGCGGTGGGAAGGCTGGGTGACTGCTGTATGTTGCTGTTATTGCTCTTACTGTCGATCACTGACTAGTAGTAAACTTATCACGACTATAAGCAGTATGATCATCATCATTGTGATTCTTGATATTCTCAAAAGTATTATTTCCTAATTACTTCTAATAACTTCTACTTCTGTTTCTATATTTTCTATTGTTTTCTATGTTTGCTTTTTGCTATCATCATGGCAATATTCTGTTGCCAAGCCAGGTCCCAGAGCCAAAGCCGAAAGCCAAGGCTGAGCCAAAGGCACCGGAACCAGAGCCGGTTTGGAGCTCAGCTGACGAATCCCCCCTTTTTTGGGCCATAAGATGGAGGAGATATCTCCGTTTGAAGAGGGAACATGTCGTTTTGAAGCGTGTAATTTGGAAACTCAAGAAGCTTGGTAAGTTACCTTAAGCCAACCATTTTATGGGGAGATATCGCAGGGATAGAATGGGGTTCGGGGGATGCCCCAAGTTGCTGCCATTTTGATAGGGAAAGGATTCAAGCGTCATAATTGGGGGTAGTCGATTTTCAGATAAACCAATGTTTTGGTACAATATGTATTATATATATATACTGTATACAACATAATAATGATGTTTATAAAGTAACCCACTTTTGTCTACCAACATCTTGGTTCACTTGGATGTGGCAAACAGCCATGTAATTAGCCAGAGATCGGACGCTCGACCACCATGAGGCAAAGGTGGAGGAAGAGGAGGACCTTTGAAATTCGCATATCCTAGGGATCACAAAAAGTACATGTGCAGCAAGCTCTTGTTGCGATCGGGTAGAGATGTCATATCACGAGTATATGTATTATATAGACACATACATGTAGAAATGATCTATTACATGTCTACATAAGATATATGTACAGTGTACATACATTGACACATAATATACCAATGCTAAGCCTTGTAAAGCTTCGAGACATAGCCAGATTTGTGATGCCACTGGGCATGGTATGTTGCCATGTGGCCATGTTGAGGAAGAGCCCGAAGAGCCTGAAGAACCTGAGGAACCGGATCCAGAGAGGCTGGAAAAGGCCAGATTTGCCATGTCAGCAGATTGCAAAGTGGCATCGAAGTTTCCAAGCAAGTTTTTCCAAGCAAGTTCCACCTTTTTTGGCTGGTTGTTCAATCTCTTCAAATTAAATCCTGGCCAAAGGCTGTGAACATACCAATTTTCAGAGTCATTGCTTGGTTTGGAGGAACGAAGTTCCAAACCCTGCATAGGATACGGAGCCATATCCCTCACAAGGACCGTGCGGAGCTCAGAGGAATTCCCGATAGGGCCGATAGGGAGAGGATCTCGAAATGCAAACCGTCCCAGGTCCGGAGAGCTGGATTTGAGCGACGATCAACTTGACAAGCAAGGAGAGCTGAAGCAGGACTGGGATGACTGGGATGTTCACTGGGATCAACTGGGCACCTTAGGATCCACATGGATCCACCACATGTAGCAGCGGAGAATGCTGGAGGTGAACTTTTTAGGTCCTCACCAGGTTTGTTTTGTAGTCACAATAATTCTTCCTATCACTTCTGCGAAGCAACAGAAACACAACCCTTCTGTATTAGGAGAGGTAACCATGAACAGCAAACATTTCTATGTAGGGCTCTTCTTTCAGTGCGTTGGTGAACCATTCTGTCGCCCGAGGCGGCTGCAGAAGCTCTGGAAGATGGCGATTTGTCCAAAGCCTTGGAGAAGATGACCCAGGCGGCCCCGGATGTGGATATGCTCAAGTGGTAAACCGAATGCCACAAACCTTCAATTGGGAATGGCTGTATATATATATGGCTGCAGTGTATATATATATTAAACATAATATATATATATATATGTTAATATATATATATCGCAACCATTTCCATTTCATTTGGTACAAAGGGGGATGGTGTATTCTTGCGTTTACCGCATTAGTAAGCAAATAAACAGTCAAACGGACCAAGTATTGCAGTGGACCTTTCCCGATCTGTGGCTTAACAGCCTAAGATCAGGACAATTGACTCTCACATTTCAACATGGAGATGGATCAGACGCTTTATTTGTAAAAGCCATATTTACGGGTGCTTAAGTGCTTGAACATCCATTCACCAGACATTTTGGTGTGAAAACCGGTTCACCAGGGTTTGACCCATAGCCAGCGTAGGCTTTCGAGATTGGCAACGTCTCCGCCATGATGTCGAAATCCCGGCAGGGAAGAGGGACCATGCTGTTTTTGGGATGGAAACTAATGTAGGAAAAGCAATGCCATAAACCACCCATTTGGGAATGGTTTATACAACCTATAAACATGATCATGTGGGGGATGTTTTATTATTGTTTTACCTACATTACTGGGTTTCAGTCATGATCTACGAACTCAATCAGTGAACATGACATACTTCCACCTGCCAGAAAGTGTACCAAGTCGTTGTTTTCTTGTCTTGTCAGATCGTAGGAAATGCCTTTTGCCGACACTACAACGCGTGCCACTTGAGGTTTGCCAAACGTGCAGAGGTGCTTTTGAAACTGAAGAGACCGTGCGCCTGCATTGCTGGAGACCTAAGACGCAGCAAGGAAACGCTGCATTAGTTCTTTGTGGAGGGACACAAAATCAGTTGGTTTCATGTCATGAAGTGGATTCGCAGTGAATATGAAATACAATCTATACCAATCTATACTGGTCGATACTGGAATTAGAGTACAATTAGATGTTGTCCCACTTTGCATGCATATGTATGTATATGTGTGTATATATATATTGTTCTCATGTTGTAGATATTGGTTTAAATCATACGCATTCAAGGAATTTCAAATCTGGGCAAATGTTTGTGTGTGTTCCATTCAGTTTATTTTGGGTATTATTATAGAGTGAGGTGTATATCGTGCCTTGGTCACAGACCAACATGTGGGTGGATGGCCTGAAGATCCAAGGGTCCCTGACAGACATGAGAGCTCAATTTATGTCATAGAACTATCCTTTTGTTTGCACATGCTTCTGAGATACTTCTGAAAATCTATATTATGTAGATACACACACACATACATACGTACATATATGTCATATATGTAACATTATCCAGTATTTAAGTAGAATTATACATACAAATCTGTATAATATATACATACATTATATATATATACATGATACACAACTCATCAGCACCAGCAATGCACGGCGCATCTTCTCGGCTCAGGGGCTTTTCCGACCAGGCCCTCGCCATGGGTCAGTGTGCTCCATATTTCTACTGCGGTTCCAGCTTCGCCCACGAAGTGAAGCGCCTCGGGTTGATGGTTTCGGCGGTGGATTTGGGGGACTTTTCCGGAGGAATTTTCAGGTTGATGGTTGGGTTTCCCTTATTAAGACAACAGAAACAACGGCCTGAAGCCGATTTATCAATGGAGTTGGTCCTGCCATTGTTGATGTCTGCGATTGTGAAATGCTGCTGTGTTTATTTTTTGGTGTGGTTGATCATGTGGTGCCATCTGTTTGCAGGATTTGTTTCTGCAAATTAAGGTTTTGCTATTTGCTGCTAGCATACTATAGGACAATGGAAGTACTGACTTGCAGAAGTAAAGAGACCTGCGGCACTGCATGGATTGGATCACTGTGACCTGACACGCTACGCGAGGAACCACGATGGAGGTTCTCACATGGTTTCGAAGCAGCAGCTGGAGGAAGGCCTCGCACGCTTCAATCAGGTGGGTGCGATTTCCGCCCAGCCGCTTGCTTCAGAATCAGACTTGCAGACTTTACATTTGGTGAAGTAAGACAGAAGCTTGGTAAAAACCATCAAAAACCTGGTGAACGTCATAGAAAACATGGATCTTTATCGTTGCCCCAGAATTTGGTCATGGATTTCAGCCAGAGATGAAGTGATGCACAAAGTGAACCGCTGAGGTCTATCCGGAATGGACCGGAGGCCTGGAAACATGCCTTCAGTACCTCTGCTGGCAGATTGTCGTGGTGGAAGAATTCTGAAACCTCAAGAACTACTTCGGATTCAGAAACTATGTCTTCGAAACTACAGTTGAGAAACTAGATAAATCATATAAATCCATCATAGAAACTAGAGTTACAGGAGTTACAGGACACGATTCAGAAACTACGTCTCCGAAACTGCAGATTCCATATCTCCTGGACCAAGGCATAGCAGCGGGCTTGCTGAGGGGCGTGCACCAACATGTGCCTCGAGTTGTTAGGAGCGGACACCAAGCAGTTCTTCGTTTTGAAAGCATTGTTGGAGATTAATGATATTATAATGCCACCACAAGAGCACACTTTGTAACAGCTTCTTCCTGTCATCAGACCATATCAGACCTATATAATATGATCAGCTAGCAGGTATTGACTTACAGTGGTTATCAGATGCTATTAGTAGGCTCATCATCATTTCAACAAGCACTGAGAATCCCAGTGGACTTGGCAGCCTGAGAATGAGAGGAGTGTCGACTTTGCGGAGGGCACTGACTGCACACCTCACTACTCGAAACTGCCCAGCGGAGGGAAAGACGTCTTGGCCACACTTTGCGTGAAACTCTCGCAAAAAGAGGTGCCAATTGGGGAGTAGTCACGAGTCCAGGTTTCCATGGTACCTTGACCTTCCAAAGATTGTACCAGCTTGGCACTTTGGATCTCCACCCGATCTTAAACGGGTACCTTCGTCTATGTCTATATATGTTTCTTGCTTGGTCGCTAATTTGCACTAGAATTACTTGAAGTCCTGGATGTGTGGATGCTCGTAAAGGTCGATACGTTGGTCCACAGTTGGCAGGTCATCGACTGTTGTTGTCAGAACTTTAACTCTCAGACGGAGAAGACTTGAGTTCCAGATGTCATTTGAGCAACGCCTTGAAAGGTTTATGGCGAAATTGCTACCCGCTCGCGGATTGGTGCTTACTTGCGTCTAAACGAGGAGGTTATTTTTTCCATTCTCCGGCTGCCAACGAATCTCAGCCACCTGGATGCACAACAGCTGCATGATTCTTTGACACATCTGCACAAAGAGTGCCATGAAGTCAGTAATCAATCAGCAGGCAGGTTTTGTATGCGCAAGACAAGCATGAATTGTAGGGATATCAGATGACAACACTATAGTACCATCATTTCTGCTCAAAGCTTTCCATGTTGGATCTGAGGTGAATCTCCTTTGGTTGTCGAAGTCTATGGCTTTGATTTTACCAGCTTGCCAGAGATTGTCAGACTTCGTCAGCATCTGAAGCAGGTGCAACTGTGGAATCGCAGCGGCCCAGCAGTGGAGTACACCCTCCGGAAATGGGTGGTGAATGGACATGGGGGTTTCCTACAATGGGGAATCCCTCTTAACCATTGGTTTCCCCATGGAAAAGTGCCAACACACAGCCTTGGATGATCTTGGGGTCCCTCATTTAAGAACCTCAAATCTGAGCTGGACACTTCCACTAGTTGACAGATGCAACACGCAATGCCGGTGCCTCATAGTTTCCTATCACTTTCCCAGCACCATTAGCCCCCTTGTCCTGGTGTTTCTGTTGTAAAGACCATATGCTTACGTGTCTTCAAACGGATTGACATGATGTGTTTGCTACATAATTGTGCATGATATATATATATATACACACACCTCACCTACACACACATATATATATATACACACCTGTATACGAACACAGTGAATAGGTGAATGCATGAATCAATCAGCAGAACAAAAAGACCCGCTCGCTGCGCTTGCCAGGTGCTTGGTCCGGAGTATTCGCGGAAGAGTGCAGTGGAGTGGTATGAAAAATACAAGGATGATTTTTGCCCGTTGAAGGACTCTTGGAGATGCTATGAGAACGGATCTACATGATTTTCCTTTCTACTTGTATGATACTCCAAGTCTTCTTTTCCATACTTTACAATGCTACAAGGATCTACAAGGTCTCAGTTACCAGTACTGGTCCAAGAACATGTTGCTGCCCGGGGAGGGGACAGAGTGTTCTGCAAGACTCAATACAGAATATGTCACTTGATTTCGCTTGTTGTTTGGGACCGAGTTTTTGCAATGCTTCTGCTGTTCATTGAACATACTTGGACTGTTTGGACCATGAACAATGCATTCCTTGCGCATGTACAGCTGGCAGTCACCACGTACCCCTCAACCAAGAAATCGCCGTAACAGACTCGGTTGGATTTTGAACCTGGGAACACAACAAGCGCAACCCAAATCTCACAGATGGTAGCCATGGTTGCTATTGGAGCTGCTCCCTCGAATCCAAGGATTCCAAATTGCGGAGGATCCTGGCGTCAGTATTTGAAGTGCAACTGGGCAGGTAGATGATGGTAGATGTACATCAACCTGGAAGTTCGAAATTGAATTTGCATAGTTTTATAGACTTTTTTTGTTTTCGGGACTTTATTAAATAATATTACTCGATGTGGTTTCTTCTCTTTTGCAGTCTTTTGCTTCATCCAATCGTGATATGGAAAGACCTCCCTTCCTTTTCTTGTTCGCTCAGGGGGATGCATACCTCGCTGTTGCTCCCTGAGTGGGCAATCGGCAGAGCTTTGTGGGGGATGCTGAACATCACAACACGCTCGTGCGACCGGCAAGTGATGCTGCGTCGTGTTTGAATCGAAATGTGAAAAGTCGAAACGCACCTTGAAGATTCTTCTCAATGTCGGCTTGATCCAGTTTGCAGTGTTTGAAATGGTGTTCTTTTTTCTTAAGTTTTCTCACTCCATCAGTTTGCTCTTCAATCACTCAGGGGTCTACCTCTGGCTGTGGGACTCCACCAGTATCGGATGAATTTGAAAGTCTCTTGAGCCACAAAGGCTGTCCTTGTCCGACAGGTACAACAGATTCGAATTCTGGGATGAAGGTCGGAAGCTCGCCTCAACTGGCAATTTTCCCAGTGACCCTGTGGGTGGCAAGAGTTCTTCTTAGTTTCGCTTGCTTGTATCTTTTCTTTTGCTGCTGTGGCTGTGGTGTAGAGATTGATTTTGATGAACAATTCATGTTAATTCATGTTAACATTCATGAGATTAGTGTTGATTGATTTTGATTGATGTTAACGAAGGCGGTGGATTTTGCTTCAGGAATGGCATCAGAGTCACCGTACGCTGTCCGTCTCTGACGGACCCAGATGATGTTGAATGTTTACAGCTCCTTGGTACCTCCAGGTGGAAATTGGGAGGGACAATGGACGGGTTCGTATGATTTTTCCCGATTATTTACCCTTCTGGCAATTTAACATAGCTATACATAGCTATTGAACATGGTGATCTTCCACAGTTATGTTAGTTTACCAGAGGGTAATATGTATGCTTCCAATTTGTCAATTTCTATTTCCATCTATTATTTTTGTGGGTGATGGCAGTGATGGCTATGTAAACCCTACCATTTAGTGGCTCCGGTTCCGCCCAGAAACACCCGCGACCTCTTTGAGTTGCAAAGTGCCACCGCGGGCGATCGGCGCATTGGAGAGAGGTTTTCCACCTCGGCCAGGGAACCCAGTCCATCAACTGTTGGTGGATCATTTTGAAGTGTCAATGATAGGGGATTTATCTTCAAATTTTGTGATGTTTTATGGGACTTTGATTCAGAATATGGGAGTTGATAAATGAAGGTTGGTTGATGAAATTCGGGGATTTTACCCCTCAATATATTGGAGATTACAATCCGTGAGCTGAGAACAATCCCGGTCTTGAACAACCAGTGTTTCAGTTTGTAGCTGTAGCTTAAAACCTTGCCTTCGCAAGTCAACTGGAAATTCAAAGGCGTGGGACAATCCTAGCTTCAAAATTGTTGTGTCAATTAGAAGAATTAGACTCACTCTACATGAAACCAGCAACCAACAAGAGCTGACTCATGCTCCAAAGACATCCAAAGACACTGAAGCCAAGAGAAATCGGTAGCGCCCGTGGTACTTTGAAGTTCTTCGTTCTGAGGCCTACAATATCGGTTCCATGAGCTTTGGCCGACCGCTTGGACATTCAGGTGGTGTGGGCCATGGGGGTTGTGAAAATCAGTAGACTGCAAGCCTTTTTGGGCCATGGAGACAGCTGTGGAGACAGCTGGGTCATCTGATGCGCCTCTGGTATGTGATTGTTGACGATTATTGTATCATGTGCTTATCTTGACTGAAAGCTGCACATTTGCAGAATTCTTCACATCTTGAGATCGATCCATAGGTCTGAGCTGTTTTTTTGTGCGCTGCATCGCGCAGGTGCAAAGCCAGCTGTGATCGCCAAAGTGCTCCTTGGATTTGCAAGAAGTTTGACAATAGGTGATCCCTAAATCCACTGTTGAATCATCATTATCCTCCTTAAAATGACCATGCATATCTATACATGGGGTGTAACCCATGGATTCAGACCTACTCAAATGACGTTTAGATATGTTTAGATACTTTTTTGGACTCAGGGTTCAGGTATGGCTAAGCAATGCTGAGCGACCCAGAGAGCCAGGTTCTCAGCAGCCAGCAAATGGGGTCCTGGTAGGTCGGGATGGCAGAGCTCCTCGGATCTACTCGTCGGGCAGTGGTTGCGGATTGTGAATTGAGAAGAATTGGGGTGGTTGAGTTGCTGTTGCAACTGCTGGGATGTTTTTTCCCGTGAAAATAGTGAATATCTTCTTGAGCTGGAGGGGATTGTATGGGATTGTGGGACACTTAGCATCGACAGAACCTGCGGCTGTTGCTGGGTGCTGTAGGAATGAAAACGTTTGGATACAGCAGGACGAGAACAAGTACACTGAGCAATGATGTCCACTTTGAAGATCGCACTCGTTCTAAGATGTGGTTTCTAGGATTGGAACGAAGCAACTACGCAACCTACATAGTGACAGTCAGTGACATTTTGTGTTTGGTGAAACACAGCAGAGAACCTTAGGCTACGATGACACGTGGGAGTGCACGGACCTGAAAGATCACCTTGGGAATGTGATCGAGGAGCAAGGCGAGCTTGGCGAGCTTTAAACTCTTATCCGGTGGCCTGGTGAACTAAAAAAATCATCAAAATAGCTGGTAGATGATTGGTATGATTGGTAAATGGATGTTGTTTTCTTAATCATGGTTTATAATGATATTATATAAACTTGATTAAAGCATATTAAACCCATCCTCAGATATCTCAATGAATTATGCAGGCTTTGGCAGCCTCTGCAGGCCGAACGATCTGGATCACTCCTGGTGCTGGCCGAATCCCTTCCACACCGAGACAACGAGAGGACATGATTTCTACAGAGGCAGGGAACCACTTGACATTTTGGGCTGGGCAATTTATATGATTTTAAAATTTTATATGTATGTAATTCTCCATATGCGTGGTGGATCCTGTATTGATGGAAACTGCACTGGCTCTGCCAGCTGAAGCAACACCCAAACAGGCTTCCCAAACATACCTCATTCTCTGTGCCAATGTCCTTTGGGGCCGAGGTTGACAGAGCAGACAACGAGGCAGTGCCGTCCAAAGCGAAGATGTGGCTTTTACCAACACTACTTTTGCTGGCAATGACTTGCTTGCTCATGTCAATCCTCTCATCCTTTTCCCGTCCCTTGGTTGCAAAGTGTTGCAAAGTTCCTTGACTCGGACACAGCAAACAAGATCTGGACAATGAGTGACATCAAGTAACTTCTATGACTGTCATCGATACGATCTGGACACAGACGCACACATCCACACTGTTGTATGCACATCCCCAACATACATGCTGCATACATACCTGCCACCTGCCCCAACATCCATCCCACATCCGTCACTGCGCAGAGTGCGTCACCAAGGTATGGCCTCCGCATGAGCCTTTTGAACAAAGTGGATGATGTGGTTGGGGATATTTTCGAAGAATCCTAGGGATATATGTCATAATATGACATCTTGAAGTGGATGCAGGTAATTCTTGGATCATGGGGATAATCCTTTTGATGTGGATATTTCAAAGAATCTTCAGAACTTGGCACTTGGCTTCCAGCATAAATCCATCTCCCAGCGCTTAGCTGGCGGTGAAGCGACCTCGCTGCGTCCTCATCCCCAGCTACGAATATCTTTCAGCCAATGATGGGAGATGCACAGAGGCGAACTCACGAGAATCATAGAAGGCCAGTTATTTAATATAATTTAATATGATATGATATAATATAACATAATCACCATTTTTGAAGGATCTTTTGCAATTTCGGAAGGGAAAGGCAGGGCCTCCAGGGGTTGCCACTTGCCTCACCCGTCATGGTGCGTCTCACCCAGTGACGTCGTGACATTTCGGACATTTGATCCGTGGGCGAGGAGATAAAACGCTGATCTTAGTGAGAGAGATGAGACGCATCTTATTTCCACAAGACTGGGGTTCACCCATACTCATATTTCACGTGTTCTACGTGAGTCCAGCAGCAGTTTGCCCAGGCCGACTGTGATGCAGCTTTGAAGATTAACCCAGACAGTGGCAAGGCTTTCCGAGTCAGAGGGAAGGCGGGCGGATTCACCCGTCGTCTGCTGTTTTTGCGTTTGGTAAAAAAAAACTGCTTTACCCTCCAGTCAACAAAGAATCCATAGGTTCCATTAGGAAATATAGGGACTGATTCGAAGCATGGTGGATTTTCCATAGCTATGTTAGTTTACTGAAGGGTATCCCAAGGGGGAAGACATGACCGCAACATATCCCGACAGTGGAGGCACACCGCTTGCTCGGCCACTGGGAAGAGGCACCTTCCGGCGGTTGCCTCATCAACTTTGGGCATTAATCATATTCATCATTGATATTTATATATTGCCTGGATTTGCTGAAAAATCAAGGTATTTCAAGTTACGGTTGCTTTTTTCATAGGAACATTCTGGTCAAACAACTGTCAAACATGGGATTTGGGGGAGAATTCCTGCGAGTTTTTTTGGTGATTTTCGTCCCACTTTCCAGGCTCATCAAGATCTGGCAGAGAGTCAAAAGCTGGACTTCGACGACGACACCGCCGAGGTCTGTCACCAAAAAGTGTCAGGAAATTCACAGGCCAACTCACGACTTTATCTGAATCGAATTGAATTGACTAGTTTTGAAGAGAGGGCAGCCACAGGTTTGTTGGTTTTCGCCGTGCCAGTTACAGAAGTTTGTCGATGCGAAGTACAAGAAGATTGCAGAGCGCAAGAACAAAGAAAGGACCCAATTTCGGTGTGTTGACTGATCTCCACTGCTGGTTGACTGGATTCCAAGTCACAAAACTGGTCCGGTACCTTTGGGACCGTTTTTTCTTGTGGTTTCCCTTTTGTGTCAGGATAAAGGCCGAAACGAAGAAGGAACAGGCCACAGCAGCGGGATTTTGTTGCACCTGCCCATCATGGCCCATCTGTGGAAGGAAAGGAAACGCAGAAAAGAAGAGGTGCCTCCGGGTGTCTCAGGGGCTGATTCACTGGGGCTGGGCTCCTGGGCAGCTTCAAAAAGCAAGTGAAAGGCTCAACCAGATGACTTCGTGCAGCAAAGCCCTTGGCTTTGCTCTCTTTCGATTGCATGAAAACCAAAGACTTGATCTGAAGAGGTGCCACCAGACCCGAGGGGTAGTCAGCAGCCATATTTTCCGCTTAGACAAGTCTTTCTGAAGGCGCAGAGAGCCTATGAGGAAGCCAAGAAGAATCCATCAGGAGGTCCAGCTTCCTGTGCAGTTCAGCCGAGTTCAAAAGTGAAACTCCATGAGTGGAATGCATTGAAGTCCAAGATATTGTTGCAATTTGATACAATTTGCTACTTCTTGTTGCCGCTTTCATTTGTTTCCTTGAACAACTTACGGATTTGGCAGCTGACTGTGTTCTTGTTTTGCTTGTAACATGAGGCTACGGTGATGGTGGCTTCCCAGGAGGCTTCCCTGGAGGCTTTCCAGGTGGATCTCAGCATTTTTCTTTTGCGGTTCCATGCCTTGACCTTGTGGAGCCAGGTATGGGTGGTATGGGCGGCTTTCCAGGAATGCCTGGTGGCATGGGAATGCCAGCTGGCTTTGATCCCAGTATGCTCAGTGGAATCATGAGCGATCCCGAGCTCATGAAGGTGCAAGGGTGACCGTGCGGAAGCAACATTGCTGGAAATCAAAGAGTGGTTCAAAGGATAGGCCACCGATGACGTGCGAGCAAACTGGGGATGTATACCATCATAATCCACCATATATATATATATTATATATACATTTACATACAATACATGATACAATCATATGATAATGTAGATAATGTAGTTATAATATATACAGTTGCATTATATGGCACAATTATACGCAAGTTCTGCACACCACGATGCGCACAAGCCATCACCATACCCGCTTATTGTATGTTGTCCCTGTATGTTCCATCGAAAAGTTTCGAGAGTGAATAGTACCTGCTCTATCTTGCTACTTGTAGCCAGGGATTCTATATTCCTCCACTCCTCGCTGCTGCATTGCTGCAGGCATTCTCTGATCCAAAGATGGCTGCAGCGATGCAGGACAACTGGATCGGTGGTGGATGATCGCAATGTTTGGTTGGCCGGAGCTCTTAAGGCATCATGTTTGTATGCTGTTTGTAAGTATTGTTACACCACGTATGGGACATTGCTCCTGATTGTCAGGACTTGGATTCCTGCAGAGTGTAGCCCACAAAGAGCTAAATGTTATAGCAGACTGCCACAGGAGAACTTGCCTGAAGTTGAATACAAGAACGACTCTTTCTGATGCAAGGAATTTGGTTTGCGTGAAATGGTTTGGCAAAGCGCTGCATACACTGATTACACAATTCATGCGAGGGCTCTTCTACCGCAAATATAGAGCGTTGAAATTCCAATTTTCTTTTGGACATGAGTCGTGCTGACGCTATGAAAGTCACAGATCAACGTGAGAGATTGACGTCCCAGAAAATCTCCATTTAAGGTTACATTGGTACTTCCTTGACACTTTCGCATACTTTTGCCTGAAGCCATAAGTATCCTATCCAATGCATATTCCAAGGTCCTCAGCAACTCATGCAGTTTTTCTATTTGACTGACATGGTACATTCTGCGCAGTCTGGTTCCACTGCACATCATCCCCCATGTCAGGACATCATGAGCAATCCCGGGAACATTGGAAAGTACCAGAATGACCCGGATGTCATGAACTTGATGCAGAAGGCCGCGGGGATGGATGCAGCGACTGAACGTATCTCGGACCCAGGACCTAGGATGGATGCAGCTGGTATGTATGTATATGATAATAATAAGAATAAGAATAATGATAATAATGATTGTTATTATATACACAGTATTTGCAATGTATACATACATATATAGATGTATATATGTATATTGTACGTACGACAATGTACATGAGTATGTAGAGGTAGGGGACTGATGTACAATGTAATGCAATGTGATGTCATGTTTTGATGTGATGTAATTCGTAGGTTTATTTGCAGCATTTGCCACAACCTCACTGGACCCTGTCTACCTCTATATTCTAGCATACCTAGCACATACTGGCACATACTAGCCATAAACTGTTTGTATATTGCCTCTAGCATACCTTACACACGCACTCACTGCATAGATATACGATGACATATGATATATATGATGATGATGATGATGATGATGATGATGATGATGATGATGATGATGATGATGATGATGATGATGATGATGATGATGATGATGATTTGCTGCCTATACACATACTACGCATAGATTGCTACATGGAGATAGTGGGGGCCCAATGTCATCGAATTTCAGGTCATGGGAGCCTTTTCCAAGGCTGGCGGTACCAAGCTTAGCCAGAAGAAACCTCAGCGCGAACGGCGACAGAACCGCGTTCTGAGGGCCTGGTGGTATGCCTGGTGGTATGCCTGGTGGCATGCCTGGTGGCATGCCTGGAGCTACACCTGGTGCAGGCAGTGGTCCTACAGTGGAGGAGGCACCGAAGATTGGCGACAGATATTGCCAGCATTTCTTCAAAGGTGATGACACAGTGACGTAGGCCGTGGCCAGCTTGGATGGAAGTTATTCTCCTTATTCTTCTCACGATTTTCTGTTTTTTTTTGGGCAGCCAAGATGCAAAACGAGGAGCGTCTTTGCACAGTCTCATTGAACCCAGTCAGACATATCACACAGGTTCCCGAGTCCACCAACGTGGATGAGGTGGACTGATGCTTGGAAGGCGCCAGAAGCCCAGTGATGAGTGACACATTGTAACACAACACGGATGAATGAATTGATGCATGTTTATGGAATATTATGGAATTGAATTAGCTCTCGAAAATTGTAATCAATTTCTTTGATTTTCCTTGGATGCGATAAGTCAAGGATGTGAGTCCTGAAACTATGCGCAGATCCACGGGCTGTTCAGGATGCTGACATGCTGACGAACTCAAGCTGCAGGTGGTTATCATGAATTGCGAAAGTTGGTTGCCGCTGGTGGTTCTGAGAGCAACATAGGACATGACAGATGATGTTTTGCGTCTCTTGTGGTGTTAGGCAACTAGCGACGTACCCGTTTCGAATTTTGAACAGGATCAACATTTTGAAGCAATTTGTGCTTCTTTCTATTTAGATCGAGTCAAATGCAGAACTCGATCTGAGCGCACAGAACGTCAAGGATCCTGTGGTTCTGGCAAAGGCTTGGACCTTCCAGCTAGGATCGATTCTGTTCCATTTCAATACGAACAGCTTAGACAGGATCGAACCTGCAAAACAAAAAAAGAACAAATCAAAATATATTCATAGTCTCAATTGATGTTCCTTCAATCCATGAATCTTCATAATTCTTTAATTGTAGAGCTTCGCACACCGGCGATGCCCTTCGGGTTGGAGGCGTTCGTGGCTGTCAAGCTGAGGAGTTTGTGTTGGCAGCGCAGATTTGAACGGCTCAGAGCAGCAG